GGATGATCTGGGATCATTGAGGTTAATCTTTCTCCACAGTCTCAAGTCTTTTACAGCCTCTAAAGCTACTGAAGCAAATAACCCCAACAACATGATACTACCACCAGCATTTGGAAATGCTATGTTCAGGGGGATATAGATCTTTCTTTTTACCCCCAAAAATGATCTATCTTGACACATTTTAACACCTTGTGTTTATAGTCAAAGTTTGCTCAGAAAAATCCTGATGTCTCTTTGCAGACTTTATATAATCAACCAAACACATCTGTGGTCAAAGAGGATCCAAAGCATGATGCTCTGGCAGTTATCTACAGAAGTATTTTCAAATGTGGGCGGACAGTTTCTGTTTTTTACCAAGTGTCTATTGACACAAGCATTGATAAGTACAAAAGTGTCCAAAATAATTATTTAAAGTGAGATCAGAATATCTACGTAGATCAATTGTTTAATTTACAAATGTATTGCCAGAAAGGCCAAACTGATCCAGTAGAAGGTATTCATGGGCCATAAAAATATTTTCTCTATATTTTTGGAGAAAACTATTTTTATTTTATGCATTTACTGGTGTTTTTTGTGGACAGTAATAAACTGAACACAAAATAGTTCAAGGAAACACGCCTGATCTGGGTATAGAAAGGATCCGTAAATCTTTACTTTAAAAAAAGAATTAATTGTCATATTTTGGACTCTACAATTTTTACACCTTGGAAAATATTTTTTTTGTATTGTTAACAGTTAGACCAGGATATGGGTCCATGCTTTCTGAAAAGACCTTCTGCGTTTGTTAAATAAATGTATCAAGGTGTGCTTTTGAGTAAAGGTCACTACATGATTGTGGTCCTGTTTATGTAGTGGCACTTGAGTGAAGCTTTTGTTGGTTTAGCTATTTACAGAATTATATTTTTCTGCATGTGTTTTGTAAGTAAGTATAACTATCAAATTTGCAGAATCTTTTGAATTTGCTGTGAACTTATGTATTTATACATGTATTGCCATTGTATCTTAACGCTACCTTTTTAAATAGGATAAAACAATCAGATTAACTGTTATCAATCGATTATTGAAACAATTGTGAATTCATTTAGTAATCTGATATTTTTTGTGTAACAAACTCTCTATCCAGAACTCCTCGAGGGACTTAGCATTAGCTTCACCTGGTTTAAATTCTGTATAAAATCTTTTTAGGGCATTTTTGCGCTATCTGAATATTAATCAATTTATGTATGAAATATTCAGCAACATTGCTTAAAAAAATGATTGTTAGTTGGAGCCTAAATTTTAATATAACTTCTCCCAAAAATCTAACAGCCACATGTGGCCCCCACATCTGCACCTTGATCCTTGAAACCCTTGATCTAGATGATAAAAGCAATGAAAAGATACAAACGTTTGATTCAGTGGAGGCTGGTGAAAAATATTTTTGGTGGGGCTGATATAGCCTAGTGTATGTCTCCAACTAATCCAGAATAAGAAATCAAATAAACAATTGGAAATTAAATACAATTTAACAGTAATGATTTAATTTACTATATAATAACAGTAACAGTGATGATTTGGGTCACTGTGACGGGGTTCTTTGGCCTCCAAGAATCCAGGCTCAGTCGGGTTACCGGTGTTGGTGATTTATTGTGCTCAAAAACTCAAAACAGGGTGCAAAAGAAACTAAATATATACAAGATACTCTGGGCCTCAGCCTCCCTCCAGTTACCAGCAATGTAACAAAGAAACAGAAAACAAAAATGGCCGCTCTTCTTCCCACAGCCCTCATTAAATAGTTTAAGCCCCTCCCCTCAGGCTCTCTTATTTCTGATTTCTTCTCATAAATCAGTTTTGTCCATATATTACCTCCACAAACAATTGATATACAAAAACAAATAATTTTTACAACTTAATTCCTTTACACAGATTCATTGATTTATTCAATTACACCAAACTTTTAAACATAAAATAAAAAATCCTTATTTATCTACCCGTTTGCCCGAAGAACATCCCTGTTGTAGGGTATGAAAATTTCATGTCATGGTTATTGTGACTGTGATGAATCCACCTCCTCACTTAAAACAACCTCCTTAACGTTGCGTGCCATACACACATTCCTGTTATACTGTGCTTGTGAGGACCAATACACTCGATAAATAAGGATCTCACCGAATTTGGTGGAAGCTGCATCTCGCTCGTTACATTCGCCATTGTCCCTCTAATTGTCTGCACCTGTGCATTGGGTGCAGAAGCCTGTTAAAGGGCAGTATTTTCAGAGCCCCAAGACCATACAATTCTGAGACGCTGATTGGCTATTAAATTATTAAATTGACCTAGAAAAAGTACATGGATGGCAGATTCTATGCACTTGTGGGGCAGTCTAATCGGAGCCCCAAGAAAGAGACGGTAGGAGTCTGTCTGTGGAAATCCACAAATGAATGACAGTAGGTAGGGAAATGTAGTTTATATAATTTGTTTTGCTTATAGGTACACAATCTAGAGAGTAAAACTGACATTTATGAGTTAATTTCTACAAATATATTTTACGTTTCTCTCTTCTTATAAGGGAGGGTGGTGCCCCAGTGCCCCCTATGGGCCGGCCGCCACTGGTTTGATTGACGATGTGAAATGTTGGTTCTTGAATTTCATTTCAATGACACAATTTTACTCACATAGCTAAACTGTATCTTTATCTATTTAAAGGAATAGTACACCCAAAACATGATTAGCCTTCATTTTCTACTCACCCCCATGCTGAACAACACTCTGGAGTACTTTTTTGATATCTCAAATGCATCTGGAGATCTGGGAGGCTTCTTGCTGTCTGCTGACATTCAAATAATGGAGGTCTATGGCGCCCGAGACAGAAAGGTCCATAAAAGTCCACAAAAAACGTGTCAATATTCCTCCATACTGCTCGTCCAATGTATTCCAAGTGTCCTGAGTGGGTAGCGTCCATAATTTACTCGAAACCGCGGCAGACCAAACCAGATGAAAGTGCGCATTCAGCGTCTGCTCTGCCGATAATGCAAGCGTAGAAGAAGAAATGTGCTGTTTACCTGTGCAAAGAAAGAAACAACGAAAGAAAAATGTCTGAGGACTTCAGTGTTGAGGAAGAGCATGAGTTCTTTGCCGAGCTGAATGCGCACTTTCGTCTGGTTTGGTCTGCCGCGGTTTCCGTAGGCTCGTGAACTCGCTTTTAGGAAATCCTATACACTACTGTTTATGCTCTAAAAACATTCTAAATGACTTAATTTCGAGTAAATTCTGGATGCTACCCACTCAGGACACTTGGAATACATTGGACGAGCAGTATGGAGGAATATTGACACGTTTTTTGTTGACTTTTATGGACCTTTCTGTCTCGGGCACCGTAGACCTCCATTATTTGAATGTCAGCAGACAGCAAGAAGCCTCCCAGATCTCCAGATGCATTTGAGATATCAAAAAAGTACTCCAGAGTGTTGTTCAGCATGGGGGTGAGTAGAAAATGAAGGCTAATCATGTTTTGGGTGTACTATTCCTTTAAGGAATGTATCTCATAATTCAATGTCTAAATAAAAGAATTGGAGATTGGTCTTCTCTCACCGTGAGAGATCAAAACGAATACATCACAAATAGACAAATGTAACTTTCAGAATAACACAACCACCCAGTTATTAAAAAATCAATTAGTGATGAAGGCGATCAGAAACGCAATTTGCAAATCAGATTGTATGACAGAAACCAACATTTAGGCCATGTTTTCTTTGTTTTACATTTATATAAAGTGTTTTGCAGAAGAATTCAAAGCCCTTGGTGCTCTGTATTTTAGTTGAATTTTATGTTATTGACAGTTTTCCTGAAGAAAAGAAGATGCTCTTGCTTGGTAAGGCATAATAAAACTCTATGTCTTAATTCTATACAGAATTATATTTCTTCTGGAGGCTTTATTTCTTAAGCTGGTCAGAGTCAATGGGAACATTGGCAGAGTTTGATACAAGGCAATCCTAAAGAAAACAACAACCAAAACTAATGTTATGATTCATGTCTCTCCATGTCAGGTTTATGTTTTGGATTACAATCAAGTCTTCTATTCCTTCACTGATAGCTAATCCCATAGATTTAGTGCACCTCTACCATGCCTGGTTGTCTCCCTGCTCTATTAAAGCTCACCTCAGTCTCCTTGTCTTTGCTTCTCCTGATTTCTTGTTATTGACTACTCTTCAAGTCAATTGATTTTCTCTTTTTTTTTTTTGCCTTGCCTGGACCAATGGTTCAGGATCCCCCAGGGCATCACAGACCCCAAGCCTCAAGTTGGAGATCACAAGATGGTTTTCATATAATTGTGATGTTATCCCTGAAGTACATGGAGGGCCAAAAAATACCTCAATTGACAAAGACATAAGCAAATGTGATATTGATTCATGTATTTATGTAATACATGATTGAAATATTAAATAAATTGTAAAATGTGCAACTGAATAATTAAAAATATACTTAGGATTATGACTTAAATAATAATATAATAAAAAATTATTATATATGCAAAAAATGCCCTGAAAATAAGTGCAATTCAAAAAAAATATATTTATAAATAAATATGAGGGTATTGGATGTATTTTTTAGGTGGTCACCAGTCACCCACATTCTGCCCTTGGACCTACAATCACTTCCTGCTCATCTAAATCTGTATTGTTTATCTGCCTCCCTGTGATCATTGCCTGTTTTTCACCTCAGTTTGAGATTTTGCTTAAAAGATCCGATTGAAAACGAATCGTATGTGTTGCTATTGGCCTTAAGTTTGAAATCGTAGAGGTGCACTTATTTATTTGCCCAGTCTAATTCTCACCACCCACATGAGCCGACGGCGCTTCTCTGCCTTCCAAACATCCACACTCTTTGACACCAATGAAACCAGTGCAGCACAGTTTTCCTAATAGTATTGCATTTGGATTGGACTTAACTTCTGTTTTTTTTTATTTTTTTTTATTTCCTTCAAGCAACCACAGACATGGGGCCAAATAAAATGCACACCACACTTTTCAGATATGATTTGTATTATTAGACAGTCATGAACTGCTTTGTGTTTTCTATACAGAAAAAGCTTTTCAAATACAAGGATGTTTGTGGTTATCATGTGATAAAAGTTTAAAGGGACTTAACACCTTTTTCATGGTGTTATATATAATTGTTGAAAGGAAACAACAGATACAATAAAAACACTGAAGAATCTAATTAGTATTTCAACACTCATGCAGCCTCAGGTTTTTCCTCTTTTACATGACAGAACAGGTAAAGCCACAGCAGTCCTTTAGCAGTGATAATCCAGTTTTAGAAAGAATTGAATTCGATGTCTGCTGGGATTTGGTAGCAACCCTCTGATCTTGCACGGCACCTGAATGAGACAAAAAGATGGAAAACACTTATACTTTATAAAATCCAAAGCTCTTTATCTAAAGAATGTAACTTCTTGTAGCACTGTTGGATCATTGCAAAACAAGCAAAAAGTAATAATAATGGTGAATGTTGCTGATTGAATAACCCACAGGAAAATACTACTGCTAGCACTTTGCTCTTCTATAATATAGCTCATAAGACATGTTTTAGTTTCTAATCCCAGCCTCAATTTAGTTTGTATTTTGTCTCTAATGTTTCTCATGTGTTTCTCCTAAAATTTACTAGGAGAAATAAAGTGAGACTTTGGCTTTGTTCGAATCTGGCTGCTCCCATTTGTCGACTGATTATGTCATAGCGCGGTGCCATGGCCTCTTTGGATTCGAAGACTCCTTTGTATGCGGCTGACAAAATGCAGGCTTCTTTTCATCCGTTTTGAAGGAAAGGTCCGCTGTATCCTTCGTAGCCTTGGATATCCAATGATTCATTGCGAGTCAAGGCAAGCTGGCTGCTCCGTGCTCAGAGGAAAAAGGGAAATGGAGCTGAGCAGCTGTGAATATTCTAAGTACAGTTTAATTTAATACAAGTATGGGAATAGTTTTGTCAAAAATTAATGAAAATATTTGTTTTAAATGGTTATTGAGCCAGATATGTTTGGTTTTATCTGTCCCAATGCAAATAGGTTTGGCTGACATTTAAGCATAGAATCCAATATCTTTGCAGTTTGGGGATTATAATCTGAAACATGCAACAACCGTAATGCCCCTGAAGCTCCTCAGAAATGACATTATCGCAAAAAACAGTAGTGAGTCGTTCAGCATCCATTCTTTGCTGGCTTTATGAGTTATCTGTCACGGTTGCTAGGCAACAGAGCAAATGCTGAGTGAGGGGTGGTGACACCTGGAGAAGGCTGGACCTGATGGAATCTATAGCTGAACTCTTCCAGCCTCCTTATTTTCACTGCGTTTGAAGGACTTATTGCAGGTAGACTGGGTTCTTTGGAGGACGCAGCCGCCAAAATCAAACACATCCAATAACATTAAAGTACAGTAGTCATAGTTGAGATCTAAAGGAGATATTTAGCAAAACTTCAATTTACACACACAGATATTCACATTTTGGTGTCACATTTATTTCATAGTTGCTTAGGAGAAGTACATGAAACATTTTGGAGTTAAAAAGTGTGCTTCTCTTGCAGCAATAAAACTGCTTAGTTTGGGTTTCTTTGTCATCATTGTGATACTTTATAAAAAATTTCATGCTAATGATAATGGTAAGTATGATATATATTGCACATTGTTACTAGAAAGATTAGGACTTGAAAGGATAATTGTATATATTAAACTTGAAGGTACACATAGGAAAACATTTTTTGACATTAACATAATTTCATGGTTTAACAAAAACTGATTTCATTCTGGAGTTTATTTCTACATTCCCTGTTCAATACCTAGATTGATATTATAGTTTGTTGGTCTTTAGAAATACCTGCTTCAGCAGAGAAGAACTTTCATCTATTCATGATTCCCATTAAAAAAAAAACATGAACAAAAAAACCCCAAAAACATTCCTTCAGGGACTTTTAGAAGGAGAATGTAGATCTAAATGAGCTTTTTTAAGTTCCACTGATTGTTTTCAAGTAATCAAATCTAAGTTTTTATGCTATTTATAATATATACAGATGAATGCCCTTTAAAAAACAATACAACATTTAAACCTCAACTTAGAAGCAGAATTCAAGGGTTTCTTTAACTCACCTTTTTCAGCCAAACCTTTGGGAAATTTTGACTGTAAGAAGGCTGCCATCTCCTTGTCTTCCTCTAGCTCTCTGGGGAGGACAATATTTCCCTGTTATTTATAGTTATAGAACATATTTTCAGTACTTTTTTTGATGCATTTCATAAACTAAGACCTCAGACTGGATTGACACATTAATTCTGTAAGAACTGCATCAGCACAGCTCTTTTTTTTTTCTCCCAATTTGCATTTTGATATCTGTGGGGAAATTTTCAGGAGAGATGGCCTCTGCATCTTACCAGCTGACACCCCAGTTTATAGAGAATGAAATGTCAATCAGAGTTATTAATTTCCCTCTGCTGCCAGACACAAATAAAAAACAATATGTGTGATAAAGAATTGATTGTAGCAAGAAATGTAAGGCAAATCTTTTCTTTCTATAGGAAGCACCATGTAAGTGATATAACTGAAAGAGCTTTGCAGATGCAATAAATTATATTAAAGAAACATTAAATCAAGAATAACATAACAAATGCACCTATTACTCAATAAACTGTACATCCAAATCTAATTTCAAATAATAGAGAAGCTTTTGCTTTTACAGGAAATCTGCAGAAAACACCTTGATCTTCTGTCTGATAGATTAAAGCAGCCAGCAGGTTCTGTGCATCTCAGGTAAGAAGGGGGATTATTTCAGAGTTGAAGAGGATACTGACTTCCCCTATTAACGTCTGGTCCCAGCAAACAAGTAAACAGTGTGTTCACTCTCCCATTGCTGAACTGGAGACATATATCTAGGCCCAAACAACACCAAAGTGATACATTTTATTTTCTCCATGCTAGTCAGGACTCAGCTGGCAGCATGTTGGATGGTCCATCTATCTGATTTTTGTTAAATAGATCTTAAGAGATAGTTCCAACAATGAAAGTTAAAGCATGCAAAGCACGTCTTTGGTTTTTTAAAGATTTTTCGCTTCTTATGAGTCTTACGATTCTTTCTTAATTTAATGTTCTTTTGGAAAACAATAAATGCTGTAATTAGCATATTTAATCTAATTGAGAATAACTTTTTCCCCTACTCTTACCAGTAGCTATCTTGGTTATCTATCTAATACAGCCTCAATGTCGGAAGAAGCAAGACACACCAATTTGTCTGAAATAAAAGCTAAAGATTAAACCCTGAAGATCCCAAACCAGCTGCACCTTGAAATTCATCCATCCATCCATTTTCTAACACACTTACTCCCAAGTGGGGTCACGAGGGGTGCTGGTGCTTATCTCCAGCTGTCAATGGGCGAGAGGCGTGGTACACCCTGGAAAGGTCGTCAGTCCATCCCAGGGCAACAAAAAGACAAAAAACCATTCACACACCACACTCACACCTAAAGAGAATTTAGAGAAGCCAATTAACCTAACAGTCAGGTTTTTGGACTGTGGGAGGAAGCCGGAGTACCTGGAGAAAACCCATGCATGCTCAGGGATAACATGCAAACTGTATGCAGAAAGATTGAACCCAGAACCTTCTTGCAGCAAGGCAGCAGTGCTACCAACTGTGCCACTGAGCAGCCCACCTTGAAATCGTGTCTGTGAATGCCACCATAAAAGGATCTAGATCCAGATAAAGTAGTGCTGATGGAGTCAAGTCTGCACTAGTAAAAAGCTCAATGTTTTGAGAATATAAGCACAACTCTTACCTTGATGAGTGTAGTTCTCTGATTTTGAATTATGTACGGCACTGAAGGAGTGCTTATACTGATCTGATCTAAGGGCAACATGTAAAAACTGAATTAAAGTGGCTCCAGATTGAACCTTTGAACAAATCCACATGGGACAGAAGCCCACATTGTTTGCTCAGTTTTATAATGCAGAATAATATCAAATATATCAATGTTCGATCTATCAAAGAGCAAAAAAAAATCCCACATATTTGTTTTTAAAGTTTATCAGTAAATTACATTTTTTATGATCAACTTTATTAAATGTACATTTCAGACTTATTGATACAAAAAATGAAAGGTTTGATCCATCATTTATAAATTAAAAATAATTTCAAAAGAGCGGTTAGAGGATCTGTTGAAAAAGGAGTGAGAACGAACAAGTTTTAAGAGAAAGGACAAAAAAAAAATGAGCTGCTTCTCCCTCTCTTACAATAATGAGGCCATCATGGTATAAAATGGCTTCCAAAACATTAGCATCACCTATCTTGTCAAGTGATGATAAGATATGTTTCATAGATAATTTTATAAATACTATTTTTTATAAATACTAATTTATTAAAGGCCTAACTTTTCCCAGTCCCATTCGAATGTCATGGCGATCTCTACTGTCACTAGTTTGTCAGCTCTGCTTTGCCGTAGCATTAAGATGTCTGCCTTATATATACACTCCCCGGCCACTTTATCAGCTACACCTGTCCCATTGCTCGTTAACACTTCATTTCTAAGCAGCCAATCACATGGCGGCAACTCAGTGCATTTAGGCATGTCGACATGGTCAAGACAATCTCCTGCAGTTCAAACCGAGCATCAGTATGGGGAAGAAAGGTGATTTGAGTGACTTTGAACGTGGCATGATTGTTGGTGCCAGAAGGGCTGGTCTGAGTATTTCAGAAACTGCTGATCTACTGGGATTTTCACGCACAACCATCTCTAGGGTTTACAGAGAATGGTCCGAAAAAGAAAAAACATCCAGTGAGCGGCAGTTCTGTGGGCAGAAATGCCTTGTTGATGCCAGAGGTCAGAGGAGAATGGCCAGACTGGTTCCAGCTGATAGAAGGGCAACAGTGACTCAAATAACCACCCGTTACAACCAAGGTGGGCAGAAGAGCATCTCTGAACGCACAGTACGTCGAACTTTGAGGCAGATGGACTACAGCAGCAGAAGACCACACCGGGTGCCACTCCTTTCAGCTAAGAACAGGAAACTGAGGCTACAATTTGCACAAGCTCATCGAAATTGGACAATAGAAGATTGGAAAAACATTGCCTGATCTGATGAGTCTCGATTTCTGCTGCAACATTCGGATGGTAGGGTCAGAATTTGGCGTCTACAACATGAAAGCATGGATCCATCCTGCCTTGTATCAACGGTTCAGACTGGTGGTGGTGGTGTCATGGTGTGGGGAATATTTCTTGGCACTCTTTGGGCCCCTTGATACCAATTGAGCATCGTTGCAACGCCACAGCCTACCTGAGTATTGTTGCTGACCATGTCCATCCCTTTATGACCACAATGTACCCAACTTCTGATGGCTACTTTCAGCAGGATAATGCGCCATGTCATAAAGCTGGAATCATCTCAGACTGGTTTCTTGAACATGACAATGAGTTCACTGAACTCAAATGGCCTCCACAGTCACCAGATCTCAATCCAATAGAGCATCTTTGGGATGTGGTGGAACGGGAGATTCGCATCATGGATGTGCAGCCGACAAATCTGCGGCAACTGTGTGATGCCATCATGTCAATATGGACCAAACTCCCTGAGGAATGCTTCCAGCACCTTGTTGAATCTATGCCACGAAGAATTGAGGCAGTTCTGAAGGCAAAAGGGGGTCCAACCCGTTACTAGCATGGCGTACCTAATAAAGTGGCCGGAGAGTGTATATTTATATATATATATATATATATATATATATATATATATATATATATATATATATATATATATATATATATATATATATATATATATATATATATATATATAAAATTCAGTTGAGATTATAGTTAATTTACATTTATAATATATAACATTTCTGTCAATACAGGCCTATAATCATTAAACTCTATAGCTTTAAGTAAAAAATGTTTTATATCTGTCAACTGACATGTTTTTGCATTTATAAAATACAGTCACTTGTGATAGGAAAAAGACTTACCGTATTTTCACGACCATAAGGCGCACTGTACTAAAAGGCGCAGTCTCAGTTATGTGTCCCATTTCTGTATTTAACACACACATAAGGCGCACCGGACTATAGGGCGCGTTTTTTATATACAGGTACATGTCCTCTACTACCTTTAAATACCTCTACTGCGTATTTTAAAAATACAGAGGGCCCAAAACTGAGTATGACTGTGCTTTATTCATGTATTTATTACAAAGTATTAATCAAACCTGCGAGCTGGGCATGAGACAGACACATCGCAGATGACACAGCGCTGTGATTACTCCTAAATTAACTTAAAATCCTGAAACCTGCCGACGGAATATGTTCGCTTTTATTGCCGGTATCCTGGTGCCTGCACTGTAAATTATTTAGATGAAAAACACCTGCCAGCCGCCGTGTGAGGCTGCTGTTGAAGGGATTTCTACTGTCGGTGTACCGCTGGTATGTGGGGGTCTGAGCGCCTCCGACAGAAATAGATAATCTGGATGAACTGACTGCAATTAAGTTTTCAGGTGGCCTTTCTCACTTAAAAACATATTAAAACTACTTTATTCCCACTGATCACAGCAAATATAGCTGCAAGATTTAGATTATTTAGATGAAAAACACCTGCCAGCCGCCGTGTGAGGCTGCTGATGAAGGGATTTCTACTGTCGGCGCACCGCTGGTATGTGGGGGTCTGAGCGCCTCCGACAGAAATAGATAATCTGGATGAACTGACTGCAATTAAGTTTTCAGGTGGCCTTTCTCACTTAAAAACATATTAAAACTACTTTATTCCCACTGATCACAGCAAATATAGCTGCAAGATTTAGATTATTTAGATGAAAAACACCTGCCAGCCACCGCGGTGAAACCAGAGGAGACCCGCCCAGAGGCTGCTGTTGAATTAAGTTTTCAGGTAGAAAAATAGAGCGGGAGCAAAACTGAGTATGTTTGTGCTTTATTCATGTATTTATTACAAAGTATTAATCAAACCCATCAAAGTCAACATCCTCTGTTTCTGAATTAAACAGCTGCGCTAAATCAGACATGCCAATTTCCCCTTCTTCGCTGTCAGAGTCACTTTCCGTGCAGCGCAGCTCCTCAGAAATAATGCCGGCTTTTGCGAAAGCTTGAACAACAGAGCCAGCAGACACGTTAGTCCAAGCATCTACAATCCATCCGCAAACGGTGGCGTAACTTGCCCGGCGCTGCCTTCCACTTATCCTGAAACTGTGGTCTCCGTCTGTCATCCATCACTCCCACGCCGCTCGCAGCCCTACTTTGAATGGCCTTTTGCTGCGCCTATACGCGCGTCAACCATTTACTTTGCATGTAAACTCGCTGCTTCTGCTGCACCTGCTGGGTCCGGTTCACACCGATGTCGAGCGGTTGAACAGCGAGCACAGCCTTAATTTGTTTCCCCATGTTTTTCACATCAGCTGTGAGATGGGCACGCACGGAGTTACATATTAACAGCGATGGTGATGAGTGGAAAAAAGAACACCTGGTCTCCTTACATTCAGCCACTCTTTCATCATCTCCTCAATGAGGTGGTCTCAAAAGTCGCAGTTACAACACACATAAGGCGCACTGCACCATAGGGCGCACCGCACATTTTGAGGGGAAAAAAAGATGTTTAAGTGCGCCTTATAGTCGTGAAAATACGGTAAATCCATTTTTTTTGTATTCTCACCTGAGCCTTTCGAACTCTACATCATCAACCAGGAAGTCTCTGGTTTCCACCAGCTTGTTTATCTGTTTCAGTAGCTCCTCCTCCTTCTCTCTGTCTTCTGTAGATTTGTCTATGTCTGTCAAACAGATAAAAAATTGACCTTAAAATCAGAAAACTACAGGCAATTCTGATTGATGAATTCTGATCTCTTGAGGGTTAGAGTGAAACTGGATCCCAAAATACTTAATTGATCTGTGACATGATCTGAAATGTTAAGACAGCAAATAGTTTTTTTTTATATATAAAAAGAAAATTAATGTTTTCAGAGGCTGCTACTGCTGTTATACTTAAATCCCAATAATATGAAAAATGACCCTTTTAGGTTTAACATTTTAAAGCATGGCATAATAAAAGCTGAACTCAAAGGAAATTAGAATGATGGCCTAGAATAAAGAGATGCTGACTCTTGAAGGTGTTTAAATTGTCAGTCATCATTCTGCGGTAATCACTAGTCACAAAAGCACATCTTCATAGGAGATTAGAACGTCTTTTCAGAGTAATGTGGCTGGTTTAGCAACAATGTGAGAAATTGTCACACAAAGCAAGATGAGATTGTTCAATGAATATGTTTTTTCATTTACCTGGAATCGTGACAAACTTCTGCAGCTCTTGTTTCAGCCTTGTAATTTCTTTGCAGAGCTGAATGTCATCCATCCTGAAACAAAAAAAGCAATAACTATGTTGGATATGTACAGAAAAAACAGAACAGCTTACCGCTGCTACAGCAGTTCAAACAAGTTTTTTTCATGTAAATTTTCCTCCTTTATTTGCAGTCAGGCATCAATTTTAAAGTCAGAGATGATGTAGAGTCATAGCTGGTAAAATACACTTCAATATATATATATATACGTATATATATATATATATATATATATATATATATATATATATATATATATATATATATATATATATATATATATATATATATATACATGTAAAAACACGTGCACAGTTTTTACTGAAAAATATCTTTAAACAGCCTTTTTAATTGACACTTTGCCACTAGAACATGGTTTGATGCACAGACTGACACCTCACTAGTTCAGTGCCGATGGCTCTATAAGCCTGAAGTCTATTATCCCTGAATGTAATTCAGGTTGGAAGTTCCCGAGCGGTTCTGGGGAATGTTTCGTCAAGTAAGTCCATGTTAAACGGGTTCAACCTAGCAAACAATCAACGCCCTTATGTCCAAGATGGACTTTGTGGATATTCAGAAGCGACCGGCATCCAGCTCAACTCAGACACTAATGACTCCATGACCGACTGAAATCAGACTGCAGCGGGTTCATGTCTCTGCAGTCTCAACATTAAATGTCGCTGAAAACTAAACACTGTAGCTTTAACGTGTTGCTAACCTTGATGTCAAAGAATATCCCACTAATCAAATTTAGAAAAATACCACCACAGTGGGCTGTGCCAAATAACATGTGGGATTAATCCAAATGTTATGCTGAATAATAAACTACAAAGCTTGTAGTCGAGGTCAGGATATGACATAATAAATTGTTAATGTAATGGTTATGGTTGTAAGAGAGGACGTAGGGGACACATACAGACAATAGGGAATAAAAGACACTGAGATGCTACTTACTACCTTTGAGACTTTGTCACACTGTCTTCCTACTTCCAAATCACAAAGTAAATATAAATCACCATTATAGCCAAATAAAGGGATATAATGTAAACATGTACAAAGTTGTATCATTTTAACCAACACGTTAAACAGCAACCTGAAATAAAATTCTCTTCAGATTCTAACGTTGGATTGAATTATAAATCAGGTTGTCTCTTCAAGTCCTTAAACCATCACTTGTATCTGCTGCTACCCCTCTCAGTGAAGTCACTTATGTTCACTGCGTGGCACACAGAACAGTAGCAGCTGCTGTTCTTGGAGCGTTAGCATAAGGTCCTTCTGAGTCCTTAGCCTTACCAAAATGAACACCAAAAACAAAAGTATACAAAGATAAGACAAAAAAAAAGAAAAAAAACTAAATCAACAGACACTACCGAAGAACTGAAAATGTGAGGGCTACTTTTCTGGAAAATGAGACACTTCTGCTCAAATGATAGGATCTGATTGAACGCTTGGCACATGTATTAATACGTCATGATTGGATCTTTTTACTTTGTTTCCATGTAAACAGAGATTTTAAATTTCCGATCAACCAAGATTGAGATCAGATCAGGGAAATTTTTGCGCATGTAAACGTATGTAATGTTTTAAAGAGCCTCCCACAAAAAGCTTGATTTCAGTCCAACGGAAATTTTAGGGGCAGAGGTCAAAATGTGTGTTTGTGAACAAGCTAGCCTACAAAATTGACTTAATAACTTCAGTTCTGTTTGGAGAAAAGGACTAAAAATGCATCAAACAGCTTGTGGAGAGAAACCCAACACATATGATTTACTTCTTATCTTTTAAAATGCTATTCTACAACATAGGCAACCAATTATTCTTATTATTACTTAATTAATTACTTCTCCAAGTAATAATTTAGCAAGCAAGAACCAATCGAAATAGAAAAGGGAAGTCTGCTCTAAAGGCAGGGAGGCATAAAAATGCTAATGTGTCTCCCTTTAGACGGTTTGATTCCAAAGTAAAAATCATCCAATGCAGATTTTTCTAAGGCTGATGCCGATTATTTTGACATCAGTCTGACCTCCGATATGTGTTAGTGATATTTTTTGGCAGATTCTTAGAGCCAATAATTCCTTAATCGACAGCAAAGAGATTTTTGCTGTCCTTGCCAGAAACAAAATGCTAACATTGTAATTTTTATCATATAAATGGAGGAAGAAAAAAGCAATATCAACTTCAAGAATCATCCAAAAATATCAGTGTTGGATTTTTCTAATTTAGAAATAATCGTTATCGGCATCGACCTTAAGAAACCTGTGTGGGTCGATCTGTAGAAAGGAGAGAATAAGTGGTGCTACAGCTGCACACTGGTAATATAGACCTTTAAATTCAGATATGCTACCCAATACAACACCCTAATAAAAAAAAAAAAAAATAGGAAATAATTTTCAGGAGGGCATTTTTTAGGAGGAGGCTGCTCTGGCACCACCTAGTGTTTATCTGTGCACGTCCCTGCATGATTGCATATAATTTATCTAATACATACATATAAATGGAAAATATTAGAAAAATGTTATTTAGCAAGTCAGTTTGCCTCTGTGCTGTGCCTCCATTATACTACCTCCAACACGCTTCCTGATTGTCAACCGCCTCCAACTCCTCTCCCTGTTGCAGGATCTCAAAAATAATGAGGTCTCTGCAGAAAAAGAGCTCAATAATTAAAACAAATGAGAGGGCTCAGCCAGTCTGCTGCACTTTTAATAATTTTTATAGTTTATTTTGGCTTGGTGCACATGGCTGCACTTGCTCTTGCTTGTGAGCTTACTGATATATTCCTGAAGGAGCATCCTAGGGTATTCAAAGCATATCAACTCAATCTTTCCCAGTGCTTGAGGCAGGAAAGGAATAATAAAAGATCATTTAATGACACATATGCATGTATTGTCAATCAAGCTGATATCTCAATAGAAAGTCAGATTTTTAAGCAGAGGGGCATCTGCTTAAAGGGGCATTTTCTGCTACATTTCTTCTTCTCTCTCAAGGAGCTTGAAGAACTCAATATACAATTTGAAATAACAATGAGAACCAGTACAATTTCTACTCAGATTATTTAGAATAGGTGTTCCTTGTTTTGATATTTTATTCATTGTTTCAAATCATCACTGCATCTAGATACTGTACATATTTCTAAGTTGAAGCAAAAACCAGATGGCAAAATTTTATCCAATCCAATCCAATCCACTTTATTTATATAAGCACGATTTCAATAAACACAAGGTTTCCAAAGTGCTGCACAAAAAAGATAAAATAAATAAAAGTAAATAAAATAAAATAAAAGCACTGCCCGCACAGGATAAGAAATATGCATGTGTATACATAAAATCAACATGTGTATACATAAAATCAACACTCTACATGGTGTCGAAAGCCAAAGAAAAGAGGTGGGTTTTAAGAAAATAGGACCAAGTGATAACGACGTGTGACTTTTTCCACTACAATGTTTTTGGGATGCAAAAATATCACTCTTTTGAACACATAATGTTTTGGGAAGAGAAACGTTTTATTTCGCTGGGTCTAGCAAACCTGCCGGACTACTTTCGGCTTGACCAAAGCTGGACGAGAACTCTGCTCACAGGATGCTGCCAGGGGTAAGTCAGTGTGATTGCATGACACTGGTGATGGGGATGCCATACAGATTCATGTCAAAAATCCCGAACTATCCCTTTAATCAACCAATTCCATTATCCTGCTGGGTGGTTTCCTTAAACTGCTGAGGGAATGAATGGAGCTTAATGCTTGGTGGTCCTAGAAGAAAACCTGTTGTCTGCAAAAGACATTGGGCTTCATGGCAGAAGCATTCGTACAAACAAATTCCTTCTTAAATTGTCCGTACAAGTGAATTAGGGAGAACATTTTTGTATTCACAATTTTTATCCTATTTCTAATCTTCTCTGAAGTTTGAACAAATTTTGCGAGTCCTCCAGATGTGCCATGGGAGTCTTGTGCCATCAGTCAGCTGGAATCAAAACCTAGTTTTTCACTATATGACTGCATTTGTTTTACTCAGAAGCAATTGTCCATTTTATTAGGCTACATCATGATATTTAAGCAACTCTGCAATCAAAATTTTAATTTTATTTGCTGATGATAGAATCAGTCACTAAACCTGCAGCAGGCATGTTTGTATCCAGGAGTCTCTGGTTTCATTTGTCTTCATTTTTTCCTAAGAAAGAACACCCAGTGAGTTCTATGTGAGATCAAGCTACTGTTAAAATAACATCTGGAACTGAGAACAGATAGAAAGTTCAACACAGTAAGACTTGTACTCTTTTCACTCCATGGGAGCTGCTTGGCTGGGTTGTTACATTAAATGTGGGAATATTTGGGTTTGGGTCTCTCTGAACTAATCAAATTAGATTTTCACGGTTAACATTTTCATCTTGATGAGCTGTATGAGAGAGATGGAGAGCGTGATGAAGGGATGACAGACTTGGTCTGGAGATGTACACTCACCGGCCACTTTATTAGGTACACCTGTCCGACTGCTCGTTAACACTTCATTTCTAAGCAGCCAATCACATGGCTGCAACTCAGTGCATTTAGGCATGTAGACATGGTCAAGACAATCTCCTGCAGTTCAAACCGAGCATCAGTATGGGGAAGAAAGGTGATTTGAGTGACTTTGAACGTGGCATGATTGTTGGTGCCAGAAGGGCTGGTCTGAGTATTTCAGAAACTGCTGATCTACTGGGATTTTCACACACAACCATCTCTAGGGTTTACAGAGAATGGTCCAAAAAAGAAAAAACATCCAGTGAGCGGCAGTTCTGTGGGCGGAAATGCCTTGTTGATGCCAGAGGTCAGAGGAGAATGGCCAGACTGGTTCGAGCTGATAGAAGGGCAACCGTGACTCAAATAACCACCCGTTACAACCAAGGTGGGCAGAAGAGCGTCTCTGAACGCACAGTACGTCGAACTTTGAGGCAGATGGGCTACAGCAGCAGAAGGCCACACCGGGTGCCACTCCTTTCTGCTAAGAACAGGAAACTGAGGCTAAAATTTGCACAAGCTCATCGAAATTGGACAATAGAACATTGGAAAAACGTTGCCTGGTCTGATGAGTCTCGATTTCTGCTGCGACATTCGGATGGTAGGGTCAGAATTTGGCGTCTACAACATGAAAGCATAAATCCATCCTGCCTTGTATCAACGGTTCAGACTGGTGGTGGTGGTGTCATGGTGTGGGGAATACTTTCTTGGCAGTCTTTGGGCCCCTTGATACCAATTGAGCATCGTTGCAACGCCACAGCCTACCTGAGTATTGTTGCTGACCATGTCCATCCCTTTATGACCACAATGTACCCAACTTCTGATGGCTACTTTCAGCAGGATAATGCACCATGTCATAAAGCTGGAATCATCTCAGACTGGTTTCTTGAACATGACAATGAGTTCACTGTACTCAAATGGCCTCCACAGTCACCAGATCTCAATCCAATAGAGCATCTTTGGGATGTGGTGGAACGGGAGATTCGCATCATGGATGTGCAGCCGACAAATCTGCGACAACTGTGTGATGCCATCATGTCAATATGGACCAAACTCCCTGAGGAATGCTTCCAGCACCTTGTTGAATCTATGCCACGAAGAATTGAGGCAGTTCTGAAGGCAAAAGGGATCCAACCCGCTCCTAGCATGGGGTACCTAATAAAGTGGCCGGTGAGTGTACAGTACAGGTGTACGTGTGTATTAAAAGTAGATTTTGCAGAATGTTTTCTCCTGTTGGTTGATGGTGAACTTATACTAAGCATTTACATCATATGTTGCACTTCTTGCCTTCGTCAGTAGTTTTTATTGACTGTTTTTAGATCATATGATTTAATTTTATTTTTATTTTTTTTACTCTGTAACAATGCACCAGGTAATTTCCAGCTATTGTGATTTATTCCCTATTGCCTGGTTCTTACTGATCCTTTAATTCTGCTGCTCAGTTCTCAGTCAGCGGATACTCTACCTCCAAACCTTTAAAGTTTTTCTTCTTCCTCTTCAATGCCATTTCTGTGAACGAATGCCTTTTGACAGTGTGGGAATTCCACCTATATGGCATTATTGTGGAGATTAACATTTCTCTGGAACGGGCGCTCACTTATGCATAGCGTGCGTGTATGCATGCCCTAATGAGATGGCTGGGGCATGCTCCTAATGAGACGACTGGGGTATCTCCTCCCAGATCTGGACGAAAGCATCAATGAGCTCCTGGACAGTCTGAGGTGCAACCTGGCATCGTCGGATGAATCGAAACATAATGTCCCAGAGGTGTTCTATTGGATTTAGGTCAGGTGAGCGTGAGGACCAATCCATGGTATCAATTACTTTATCCTCCAGGAACTACCTGCATACTCTAGCCACATGAGGCAAGGCATTGTCGTGCACCAGGAGGAACCCAGGACCCACTGCACCAGCATAGGGTCTGACAATAGATGCAAGGATTTCATCCCAATACCTAATGGCAGTCAGGGTTCCGTTGTCTAGCCTGTATAGGTCTGTGCGTCCCTCCATGGATATGCCTCCCCAGACCATCAATGACCCACCACCAAACTGGTCATGCTGAATGATGTTACAGGCAGCATAACGTTCTCCACGGCTTCTCCAGACCCCTTCAGGTCTGTCACATGTGCTCAGGGTGAACCTGCTCTAACAGGGCGCCAGTGGCGGACTTGCCATTTCCGGTGCCCGGGCAGTGAGCACAGGGCCCACTAGAGGACGTCGGGCCCTCAGGCCACCCTTGTGAAGTCTGTTTCTGATTGTTTGGTCAGAGACATTCACACCAGTGGTCTGTTGGAGGTCATTTTGTAGGGCTCTGGCAGTGCTCCTCCTTGCACAAAGGAGCAGATACCGGTACTGCTGGTTGTGTGTAGATCTTCTACGGCCCTGACCAGCTCTCCTGGAGTAACTGCCTGTCTCCTGGAATCTCCACCATGCTCTTGAGTTTGTGCTGGGAGACACAGCAAACCTTCTGGCAATGGCACGTATTGATGTCCCATCCCGGAGGAGTTGGACTGCCTGTGCAACCTCTGTAGGGTCCAGGTAGCGCCTCATGCTAACAGTAGTGACAGTGACTCTAGCCAAATGTAAAACTGGTGCAAAAAAAGTCAGAGAAGATGAGGAGGGGAAAAATGTCAGTGGCCTCCACCTGTAAAACCATTCCTGTTTTGATGGTCGTCTCGTTGTTGCCCCTCTAGTGCACCTGTTGTTAATTTCATTAACACCAAAGCAGCTGAAACTGATTAACAACCCCCTCTGCTACTTACCTGACCAAATCAATATCCCAGAAGTTTAATTAACTTGATGCTATACTCTGATTACAAAGTGTTCCTTTAATTATTTTGAGCAGTGTATTTAGACTTAAAAAATAACTATTAAAACACCATCAGGTTGGATGCTTAGAGTATATAGCCTTATTTTATCATAATCAACTGGATTTTAGTCTTTTTGGTAAAGGTATATAACCTGACTATGTACCTTTAAGTTTAATGTAAAGGTCGTACATGTATCTTAGCTCCGATTCTCGCCGTACGAGGATGTCCCGTATCTGGTCAATCTTGAACAGCTCTCCTTCTATCTCCTCAATCGTGACTGTAGAGTCGGCCATTGAGATCACATCATCTGCTGAAAGGCAGAAAACAGGTATTTTTAGATGTATTTCTCTCGGATTAAATACACTTTTGCTAAATATGGGACTAGCTTATAAAACGTTTAAAGAAAGAAAGTCTTTGACCTTTGAAAGGTTCACTAAAGTAAATTTTTTCTAATACGCCTTAATTTCAAAAAGGTATTTCTAACTTCCTATTTACACTGCAACATATGGCCCATGCTAAAGTCAATATTCCTTAGGTAATACTTGTACCTCAGGTACAGCTTTGAAATATTTAAAATATCCTTTTTAATGAACTTTCAACTGCGCTAAATATTTCCAAGTATTTGGCCCATTGTGCAATTCCTATACCAACACATTATCAGCAGCATTTTCAGCAGCAACTCTTTCATAAGTGACTAAAATTGTTTCTTTACTATATTAAGAATACAAATCATGCTTTAAGTAAAAAAATTTAAAAACAAGTAAATAAAAAGAATAATTATACTGAAAAAGCCTATTCAGAAACAATTGGAGACTTCCCTCCACATTTTTCCAAACATCACTGAACAAGCAGCACTCCCTCCTGCAGTCCCCCACTCACCAGCAGCAGAGATGAGTCATCCATCCAGCAGAGCATTTATTGGCTTTTAATTATCTGACCTTGTTTAATTGGGCATAAAAATTACACTGACTTACTGGGAACAACAACACACACTAAAGTTCTGAAAGAAGAGTTTCTAAAACTGCCATGGTCATAGTTCAGAGGAGTGTTTTGTTGTTTTGCTTTATAAAAATCTGCATTTTGGCATTAACATGATGATCAAAACCTAAAAAAAATAAGAAGCATCAGACAAAATACCTTTTCGTAACAAATGAGGTTTCTCATTTTTTATTATCAAAATCAAAGAGTTAGATTCTGGTTATTCTTTCTAATATAAAAAGTAAAGTACCCTGGTCTACTAGTTTGGGGCAGACCAAAAGCTGACTTTACTTTTACCATTTGGTTCAGTTTGCTTTCAAATTGTAATTTTTGCCTTTTACCATCGGGGTCCTTCATGTAAAACATCTGTTTTGTATATCTGTGTTGTTTTTGCAGATACAAAATCATTTTAAGATTCAAGAGCAGCTCATTCAATGGAGATTTTGAGATATTTTATTCCTAATATCAGAACAGTGTGGAAGAGCATATTCTGCATTATGTTACCAGCAGTATTGAAATAATGACAGACAAAAAACAAAATGATTAATACCTGCTTAACAATATAGTTCAACAAAAAATGTAGCGATTTTCTGATGTAGCTTGCAAAGGGATCACTGAATTGTAGTTCCTAACAGTAAAAATACGGGAGCCAAGGCATGTAAATGCAGTGCAAACAAAGGATTTCAAATAAAACTCAAAAGGCCCTGTAAACATAGAAACACGATGGAGCAAATATAAAAACGTCACTAGCAAACACAAAAGTAGGACTAGCAAACAGGAAAAAACAACAACAAAAGGGCTAAAATCACAAAATTGAGAGTGGCAAAGTGGAAAAATCCTGCAAGCCAATTCAGAAATTAATTTTACATACAAAGGAAATTTGCAAAGGAAATATGCTGCAAGTAGCACAAACAACTGATGTATAATTCCTGAGTTAGCTCGTCAATTTTTTTCTTTTCACAGAACTTTTCTGATTGGATATTTTTATATATTGTTTTGTAAAAAAATTTTTTTAAACATTTAACTCCACACTGCTTTGGGAACTATTCCATTTTACCTTTAATCAAAATGAACTATTATCAATGAATTTGGAAAGCTTTTACTTATTTTTTTTTTTAAATAAATCATAATTTTCTGCTTTAAATTTTTGTAATAATGATTGGTTTATTTTCTAGACAGAAACATATTCATTTCTTAAACAAGAGAAATCTGCTAAGGGTAACAGCAAGTAGAATGACTGCATATGTTATGATTATAAAACCAATGTGTAGCTTCTGTTAACAAAAGCTATACGTTACTTAATTCAAATCATAACCTATCTAACTGTCCAAAAAACTATTGACAATTTGAGTAACCCTAAAGCTTCTGATCGATTCTTTCCGTCAACCAAATAAAAAAATTGCACAAGATTTTGATATTAAATTAATGTCTTGCAATAAATATCTTTTTTTTTTAATATATTAAGGTTATGTTTATTTTCAGTCTTGTTTTTTATGTAATCTGTTGCATGATCCTGGCTAAAGTCTGTTTTAAAAAAGATTTCTCATAAGAAGCTTGCTTTTGAAAATAAGAACTTGACTCTAGTACATGGTATTTACCAGTACAAATGAAGGTCACAGCTGTTTAGAATGAAAACTGTGCCATAAAATATCAGTTTGGAAATAAAAGAAAAGTCAGAGAGTATAAAAACACATTCATTGTCTGATGAGTAGATCCTGCAAAAAGGAGCTTCAAAGTGTGGCCCCAGAGCTTGGGCTCCTGTGTTTGAATTTGAGCATGAGGAAAATGTTTCTTGCCAGCAAAGGTGTTCAATGCAAACATATGTTTTATATATATTAACATATGATAGAATTATTACCAATAAATTAAGATCTTATTACTATTAGTTTATTAACACATTAATTTTGTCTGCTGTTGATGCCATCGTGGGACTAATGGGCAATCCTTAATCAATTATCAATTAATCAATGCGTTATTATCCTAAATTCTAATTTAATGCATTTAATAAAGATAACAAAACCAAATCTCTTGACAATAGCAGTAATAATAATAAGGTTTTCCAGAATAAACTCACGTGGTTTTTCCATCCCTCTTTGCAGTTCAGTTTTATCCAGCGCTCCATACTGTTGAGAGGATTTTCTAACATTTTCCATGTTTTTTTTTTGTTTTTTTTTGGTTAACTAAATGTTGGCTTTTTATGAGGCTGGAGAAATAATTCAAAGCTGCAGTCCGTGCAATAATCTCTGACAGACTCCATGCACTGTTCATATAGAGCAGAGCAGGCAGCAGATGCTGAAGCCAGTCTGCGCTGAGCCTCTCTTTCTACTAATCTGCGCTCAGAGGCGCCACCTACTGGGAAAATCCAGCACAAAATCCCCACAACACTTTGCAACTCATTTTAACAGGCTTTGAAAGGAGATACAGCAGAACAGCAATGAATTACCAGCCTTCTGCTTCTTCATAGCTTTTAACCCAGTGTTTTATATCACTGAAGTGATTTTGAATTTCAGTATTATGGCATTACCATTTCTCAGCAAACCAGAGACCTAGCAAAATCCAAAAAGTTAAAAAAGATGTTTAACACAAAGGTTGGTAATTCTCACTTTAATCAGAGATGCATGGTGAACCTCACATATATTTTATTTTCTAATTTGATTTAAACAAACATTAGGCTGTGTCCAAACATCTGCCCTAACCCCTATCTATACAGGTGCTGGTCATAAAATTAGAATATCATGAAAAAGTAGATTGATTTCAGTAATTCCATTTAAAAAGTGAAACTTGTATATTATATTCATACATTACATACAAACTCATATATTTCAGATGTTTATTTTGTTTAATTTTGATGATTACAAATGACAACAAATGAAAATCTCAAATTCATCATATCAGAAAATTAGAATATTACTGAAGACCAATAAAAACAAAGGATTTATAGAAATGTTGGCCAACTGAAAAGTATGAACATGAAAAGTATGAGCATGTACAGCACTCAGTATTTAGTTGGGCCTCCTTTGGCCTGTATTACTGCAGCAATGCGGCGTGGCATGGAGTCGATCAGTCTGTGGCACTGCTCAGGTGTTATGATAGCCCAGGTTGCTCTAATAGTGGCTTTTAGCTCTTCTGAATTGTTGGGTCTGGTGTATTGCATCTTCTTCTTCACAATACCCCATAGATTTTCTATGGGGTTAAGGTCAGGAGAGTTTGCTGGCCAATTAAGAACAGGGATACCATGGTCCTTCAACCAGGTACTGGTAGCTTTGGCACTGTGTGCAGGTGCCAAGTCCTGTTGGAAAATGAAATCTGCATCTCCAAAAAGTTGGTCAGCTGCAGGAAGCATGAAGTGCTCTAAAACTTCCTGGTATGTGGCTGCGTTGACCCTGGACCTCAGAAAACACAATGGACCAACACCAGCAGATGACATGGCACCCCAAACCACCACTGACTGTGGAAACTTTACACTGGACTTCAAGCAACGTGGATGAAGTGCCTCTCTTCTTTTCCTCCAGACTCTGGGACCTTGATTTCCAAAGGAAATGCAAAATTTACTTTCATCAGAGAACATGACTTTGGACCACTCACCAGCAGTCCAGTCCTGTTTCTCTTTAGCCCAGGCAAGACGCTTCTGACGCTGTCTGTGGTTCAAGAGTGGCTTGACACAAGGAATGCGACAGCAGAAACCCATGTCTTTCATACGTCTGTGTGTGGTGGTTCTTGAAGCACTCACTCCAGCTGCAGTCCACTCTTTGTGAATCTCCCCCACATTTTTGAATGGGTTTTGTTTCACAATCCTCTCCAGGGTGCGGTTATCTCTCTTGCTTGTACACTTTTTTCGACCACATCTTTTCCTTCCCTTCGCCTCTCTATTAATGTGCTTGGACACTGAGCTCTGTGAACAGCCAGCCTCTTTAGCGATGACCTTTTGTGTCTTGCCCTCCTTGTGCAAGGTGTCGATGGTCGTCTTTTGGACAACTGTCAAGTCAGCAGTCTTCCCCATGATTGTGTAGCCTATAGAACTAGACTGAAAGACCATTTAAAGGCTTTTGCAGGTGGTTTGAGTTAATTAGCTGATTAGAGTGTGGCACCAGGGGCCATCAATTTTGAACCTTTTCACAATATTCTAATTTTCTGATATGATGAATTTGAGATTTTCATTTGTTGTCATTTGTAATCATCAAAATTAAACAAAATAAACATCTGAAATATATGAGTTTGTATGTAATATATGAATATAATATACAAGTTTCACTTTTTAAATGGAATTACTGAAATCAATCTACTTTTTCATGATATTCTAATTTTATGACCAGCACCTGTATATAGCACTATAAAGTCCTATATATGGATTAAGCCATTTTATATATGATGGTCCGGATGCAAAATTTCCTACTAAGCACCTTGAAAAGTAGTGTGCAACCGTGGCCACCAGACAAGCAGATATATCCCAGAATGCTTTGCAGTGGTTCTCCTCACAAAGCATCATGGGATTTATTTTAGGGGCGAGAAAGAACAAAGATTGCACAGACACCTTGCGGGGAGCCGAAGTCATGTGACCCACAGGGAGCGAGTCGTGTTGATCACCTGTCTGAATGGTCAGTCAACTAAGTTCACTATAAAGTCCCCTATATAGTCCAAGCTCTATATAGTGATTGAGAGATTAGGGGTTAGGACAGATGTTTGGACTCCGCTAGTTTTTTCTAACTGGGATGTAATCTTTTTATATATCTTGAAAATAAGCAGTGAAACAACATCAAATACTTCTATTAGTAAATCATCCCTGGGAGCATCTGATGTCCGACCAGTGGGGGGCCTCGCTTCCTGGTTGACCAATTAAGGTCTGCCTTCAGTTTCCATGGTAACCAACTTCTGTAGTATCCAGAGGCTGGATAGCAATCACTGTTTTTCTAAGTTCTGCAGACTCTACACTGGAAGAAAGTAAATGTTCATCAGAGCAGATCAAAACCTAAAGCAACACACAACTTTCAAACATTTTAATATTAATAAGAAACTGAAAAGTGTGGGGTGCCTATATATTTGCCAGGTTTTACTCAGAAACACCTATATGAAATGCTGTGACTACTACTGAGTATTAATTTGAAGGGCTGAATAGATGTTTTTTGAATAGTTTATATTTGAAAAAATTGCCAACCACATGGATGCCTTTCATTCCCCTTCATGGTTATGATCCAATTTCAGTCTATGCAGTTTGTGAATATAAGGTGATTACATGTGAAAACATTTAAAAAGGGCTTTCGTTTTGTTGTTTGACTTTATCTATTCCTATACCAGTAGCTCACTCTAGTTGCAAACAGACTTTCTGATAAACTATGACTATGTCCTGTTGGCTGATATTTAATTTTTGCTCTTTCCGTAAAGGTAAGCGTTTAATATATTTTCTAGGGCCGGAACTTTAACACAGTCATTTTTTGAACTTATACACATCTTAAAGTATCCCAAAAAAAAAAAAATACTGTAGTTTATTAGTTTTTACATTTAATACACCTTAAAGCAACATTAATTGTCTGACTTAGGAGCTGCCTTAAAGGAGCTTCAGTGGTATATTTTTTTAAACTCACACTTAATGTTGCATGTTAAACAGCAAATGCTACGCTACAAAAGGCAATGTTTTATAAACAGCTCTCCTGTCATATTTTTTCAGTTTTATAAAAATGTATTTCTGTAAAACTCCTAAAGGCAGTATTAGATGCCTTTTTGCTGTATATAACACACACATACTGTATATTTACCATATTCATGGAAAGGACTTGTGCTATAATTAATGTTCACACTTTTAAGGAGGCAGTTATCCAAAGACGTCTCAGAAAACAGGGTTTTCTGCAAACTAATTAGAGAGCCCGTAATTGACTCAAATAGAGTCTGACCACTAATATTTACCTTGAGAAGATAATGTTACTGGAAGCTCGGTGTTGTGAATGTGAACGATGAGTAAACAAGGATGTAAAGGAGCCAAGTCAGCATTTTTTCCATTGGCAGAGAGGGAAAAAAAGAGAATAAATTTTAAAAAAGTGCTGAAGATACAAGGGATAAGACATGAGAACGGGACAGAGTATGAACTTAAGTATTTATTAAAGCTTGAGTTGAAGTGGCAAAGTTAATGGCTTATAAGCAAAAGCTGCCAGCAGATGGGGACAACGTACGTTTATATCTGCTGATTAAGTTCTGTGAAAGAAAAATTAGCTTTTCAGGCTTGAAAAAGACTAAGTAAATGTTATCAGGACAAAGGATTGCTGCACAATGTTTTATTTCGGGATGAATATACATTTTGCGTTTCTTTACAATCTTTGTTTAATAAGTATTTGGAACCAGGCACCTTTAAGGAGCAAAAACACTTTTCCTTAGCACTGAAGCAGTTTAAAGACTTTCTTCCATAAGAATGTCTTGGCATGTTGGGTTAATCATACAAATTAATTTATTAGTCTTCAAGCAAAATATAACATACATCACATCCATAATAATTTGACAGAAACGTTACAGTCATTTTTAAATAACGAAACTGTTATCTTTATGCATTTTACAGCTTTCTTAATGTGACTCCGGTCAAACATTGGACTTTCCAGCTCCTTCTGGAAGCACACTGACAACAGTTTCCTACACAGATGCCCAGAAGAAACATTTAGGATGTTTTAACTTAAAGTTAAATATATATATACGATAAAAAGGTGCGCCCTTCTCATTCTGTTCAATCTTACGTTATTTCACAGTTTAGTGTCCAGGTTAAAGGACAGAAATGATGGCTGCAGCAGTCAGAGGAGGATCAGCTGCCTGCTGGGTGGAGTGTAACATAATGCCAGGCCAGTTCTGCCTGACCTTCTGCACACGACTTGAGTTTACACAGTACTAAAGGGCTTCTGTGTTTTTAGTGCTTGTAATCCTGCATTGTTTTTTGCAAAAACAACTTGGCCTAAAAACAACTTTCCACCTTTTACAAATATATAATAGTAAACTTTGACGAGGCTACGAGACAGGCATCAAAGTCTGACGGTACAACTGGCCCTTCTGCAGGATGACGGAAACGTCACGTTAAAACTGAATTCCAGTGAGCCATTTAAGTCGACTCATGGAAAGTAATCAAACCTGTCAGGGCAGAAAATCAGCCACCCTTGCCTGGCATGTGCTACTAAGGAGGGAGATGACAGACCTGTACCAACCCAAACATCTATAGGAATCGTAACCGATAGGCCAGCGCTGACATATTGTTTTTATAATTCTATTTTTTAAACACATTTTATAAGAGATGCACCATTTCTTCACAGATACCAGATATATTCCAGGCCTTTTTGGATATCTTAACTTCTCACCCTAGTTGTAAACACTGGTTTTATTTGAGGTGCTGCTGCTTATTTGATAAAAGCGTAGTACTTTCATAAAGTACATGTCAGCAACCAAATATCACATCAATTTCAACTTATCCCTACCATAAACCGTGGTGGTGACAGCATGATGCTGCAGGAAGCAGATGGCAAAAAACAAAAAACTGATAAAGCCTGTAGGAGACTTGAGTCATGTAAATGTTCAACTGTTAGCGGTTTAACCCTGAACATGTAAACTAAAAACACATTCATGTGTTAAATTGGCCTAGTCAAAGCACAGAATTCAATCCTATTGAGAATCGGTGGATTGGACTTAAAACTGGACGTTCACTTCATCTAATATTACTGACTTTAAGGTTTGTTTGTTTGTTTTTTCCCAAAGAAGTCCCCAGATGTTTAAAGCAGGTGCAGATATAACCCGAAAAGTCTGGGACATCTATTAAACTCAAATTAGCCCTGATGCTTTTTGGTGCAAGACTGAAACTTGGGGTAACTTTACACTTTAGTGCATTAAGTGAACAGGAGATAAATACATTCCACCATATTTTCCGTATCGGACCTCCTGATCACTGATCGGAACAGAAAAAAAATGATCCAGTTTGATCTTCACTAGCCGACTGGTGCATCTCTGGATAGATCTTTTCTACATCATCAGGTCTGTTAGTTTGAGTGTCTGATTTTCCTTTCGTAATTATTATTGCCTTGGTCATCCTCCATGGCCTTCTCTAGCCAGTCTCTCTCGGGATCAGAATCAGAGTCACTGGCCTCGCTTGCATCCGCTGCCAGAAGGCGCGAGTAGTTAATCCTGCGCTGGCGGGGGGCTTTCCACTGCAGCAAAGGGAGACACGCACACCATGCCATGAGGCCGATGGCCACTCCTCTGAACAGCCAGGTCACCCCAAACCTCTGAACCACAAACCCTCCAGCAAAACTCCCGACTGCACTCCCTAGGCGCAGGCACAGGGAGCTGTATACCTTCCGGACACTTCTTTCAGCTCCAGGTGTTGCAACGTCCTCGCACTGGATCCCAACAGCCCACCAGAGGGCGCCGCTGCTGAAGGTACTTAGCACCTGTGCAGGCAAGGCTGTCCAGGGGCCCCAGAGGAAGGAGTAGTAGAAGACCTGCAACCCGAGACTGGCAGCCCCGACTACCAGCACCCTCCCTGGGCTTAGAAGTTTAGATACTCTGCCAGTTAGGAGGGGGAAAGCAGCCTGTGAGAGCAAAGCGAGGGCGAGACACAGTCCCATGTGCAGCTCAGTGCTTCCGTGATCCTCCATCTGCCAAAGCAGGAAGTTTTCCATCGCCGAGTTCACCACCCCCACCAGGATGATGGTAAAAGCACAAAGCAAAGCACGGGGGGAGCCGTGCACCAGCTGCATGGCCTTCAGGAGCCCGTTGGCCCTGCCGCGCTTTTTATTCAGGTACAGAGGGAGGTAGACGGCTACGGGGAGGGTCAGAACCGCCGTGCCTGCATAGGAGTAAAAATGCACCACACTTCTGGAGGTGTCAGCAGCTATGAGACAGCTTAGCTGGCTGACCACAACTCCAGCTCCCCCGACCCCACAGGCCCCCCCGATCAGACCCCACACCTCCATGCTGCCGTGGCGGTCCGAAGAGTCGGCGTAGTCCAAATACTCGTACAGGCCATCGTCGACCGTCCGCCCCAGAGGGGCCGACAGGAACTCCCACAGCGACACGATGATGAGGATCAAGAAGAAGAGCTGGTTCTGGATGTTCATCTCCTTCAGACTGCCCAGAAATCCAGAACTATTCTGTTTCTCCTCCAAGCGGCCTGATGTGATCCCAGACCTCTTATTCCTTTCTGCACTCACCAGAGAGCTGGCGGTGGCGTGGACCACGCTCAGTACTCCATGACTGCTGTTTACGACCTCTGATGCGTTTCCAGGAGAGAGAGCAGTTTCTGAGGGTTCTGCATCATTTCCATTAGGCAGAGTTGATGCAGGAGTTGGTACCGAATCACTGACAGAGTTGGTAGGCGAGGTCGATACGACTAAGGTTGTATGTGTTCTAGTTGGTAATGTCTGACTGCTAGTGGTAGCTGCCAGATCAAACCAACTTTGGGCCGAACCAGAGCTCAGGTTGGAGGTGTTACAGCTTCTGCTCTGAGCACCGGGCGTCTCTACAGGAGGGAGGAGCAGCAGGAGCAGAGCGGCCAAAGCGGAAAACAAAAGCGAGCAGTTTATCACCAACCGCCTTTTGTTGTAGCGTTTGGAGAGGAGGCCAGCCAGCGGGCTCCACATCAGGGTTATGGAGTGCTTGGTGCCCATGATGATGCCGACCATGGACTGGGACAGGCCCAGGTGGCGGAAGTAGAGGGTGAGGAAGGGGAGCAGACAGGCTTTGGAACAGGAGCAGAGGAAGCTGAAGGTGCCCGTCAGAGCGAGGGCGCGCCTGACGTCGATCTGTCTGGTCCTCCTCATGGTTGTTCTCCAGTAGCGAGGTGGCTCTCTGAGAAGGCGTCACATGGAGCAACTGGTGGGATTCAAAAAAGGAGACACAACCTGGGAATTATTAAGTGATAGAAGCATTTTCTCATCCACTGGGTTTCAATTTACAACTAAGGATTAATTTTCTAATCGATAAATCTTTTTTTTTTTTATTATTATTCGATATAATTGGATGGCAAAAGGTGATTTAAATAAGATCTTTTACAGGATTAAAGCAAGTATAGACAAATGTGCCTTTTGAGTTCTGTAGAGAAATTATTCAGAAAAGAAAATCCTCATCTTAAATGCAATGATAGATGAAAACAATGTAATTAAATCAAACCCATTGCTTTTACAAGTCAGTCATTATCAGTTTAATTTACACTGCAGCAGAAAAAGTATTTACTCAGCCACTGACTGGTTCATGTACTTAAAAAGATGATGATCATCATGTAATACTACAACTATGAAACCATCAGTAACACACAAAAAAAAAGAAATCCAAAAAATTGGATTAGATTTTTATAGAATTCATAGAATTTATAGAAAGCAAAATAATTGGTCAGCAACAAAAGTTTAATTGTTACTTTGTAGCATAGTCTTTGTTTAAATGATAGAGGTCAAACATTTCTAGCCAGTTTTCTCCAGGTTTGCTCAAACTGCAGCTGGTATTTTAACCCATCCTCCATCACTTCTCTGTTAGAGCAGTGATGTTTTGGGTCTGTTGCTGGGCAACAGGCACTTTCGACTTACCCTACATATTTTCTATGTGGTTGAGGTCTTTGTATGGAGCCACAGCTGCATTGTCTGAGTGGTGTTTTTTGGATAATTGACCTTCTTAAAGAGCCAACCATGCTCCATCTTCACTGGTGGAAGAAGGTTTTGGCTTAAAATCTCCCCATTTATGACCTCGTTTATTTATTCCTTAATATAAATCAGTCATCCTGCCGAAGAAACAGCCCAAATGCATGATGTTTTTATTTCTATGTTTCACTGATGTTCTTAGGATGTAACTCAGTGTTCTTCTTCCTCCAAACACAAGTTGAGTTTGTGTCAAATGATATTTTTTTTCTTTCATCTGACCACATGATATTCTCTTAATCCTTTTCTGAAACATCCATGGCAAACTTCAGACAGCCCTGGAGCTGCAGAGCCTTCAGCAGGGAGACACACCTGGAGCTGCAGGATCTAGTCCCTCTGGTTATATTGTGTTACTGATGGTTGCCTTTAACCCTTTGGTCCCAGCTCTCTGCAGGTCATTCATCACACCAACCTGCTCACCTATTGCAGATTCACTCTATTTTTTCTTCCCAGTGTCCTTCAACAGCTTTTTGGTCTTGACCATGGTTGAGCCTGGATTCTGACTTTTTAAGGGTGTCGACAGGTGACTGACTCTCAGTTAAAACAGGTAATGTGTGGAATAACGGACAGCACCTTAAAGAATAAAGCTTTTTTTGTTTCAATGGCGTGTATGTGTTTTTTTGTTTTGTTTCGATTAGCATGTCTTCCAAGCCATAACAAGGCTTTTGTTTGGGCCACTGGACTATAAGCCTGGAAGTGAAACGCTACTCCAGGCATTTTGAACTGAGAAAGTTTCCTGGATGGAAAGCAAAATGTCTTCAAACTTGAAAAGCAAAGTCCAGCAGTTTGTTTTTTAAACTATTTTTAAACTATTTAACGTATTTTAAATTAAAGAAGAGATTAAAGGTCTATGAGGGCCAGACGTATAGCTTGTTTGAGGATGATAAAATACTTATTTTCCACTATAATTGACAAATAATTTGTAAATTCTGCATTGTGATTTAGTGGATTTGTTCTTATTTTGTCCCTCATGGTTAAAATGTACCTATGATGGAAATTACAAACCTCTCTCATCTTTCTAAGCAGGATAACTTGCTAAATGAATGGCTGACAGTATTTATTTATTTTTTTACAAAAGACCAAGACAAACTACAGTCAGGACAGGGTGGAAGTTGTTTAGTTTGAGGCATGATATGTTTTACAAAGTGGATGGATTATATAAAGAAAGTATCTCTAGTTTTGAATATTTCTCAGTTATTTTCAATTTATCATTCAAAAAAGAAAAGATTGTGGCACACATTCAAATCGCCAAGATGTGGCCTTTCACTTAGACTGACAGGTCAGAGTATTGGAGAAAGAGAAAACGGTCCATGGTACCTCATCATAAAATAGCCTTGCATCTGCTTTTACGAAAGAGCAACAAGAATAAGACCAAAGAGGCTGAGTTTAAAGTTTCCCATTTGTCATTTACAGGACAATCAAGGGGATGAAAACAAATGTGACCATTTTGTTGCCTTTTCAAAATGTTTTTTTCTGGAGGGAAACCAACAGAGGACATTGCAGACTCAGAAGCATGGAAGTGAAAACCTGCTGCAAAAAGATTCCAGCACCACAGTGAGACTACGCCTAAAGCCAGGGCCATGATGAAAAGTTTTCAGATCCGTATTTTGGACTGGCCTAGTTAAAGTCCAGACCTAGATTCTAGTAATAATAATATTAATAAAAAAGTTCAACATTTTTTTTTCTCTCCATGTGCAAAGCCGGCAGAGACACAAAACAAGACATGTTATTCATTTATGCTTCTTGCAGAGCAACTAGAGAAAACTGCATTTTTCCATTTTCCTTCACATTGATTTGTGTTTAAACATATGGGATTCTAATAAAATATTATGGAAATGTTTGCAAAATGTCTATAAAATGAAAGTAAAATGAAAGAGGTTGAAAATTCACACATGGCATGTATTCTTTCCATTCTTTTATAATATCGTATAATAATAATAAAAATACTATCTTGTAGAACCGGTTTTATATGAATCCATTACCATAGATAAAAGACTGATTATTCTTAAAGACGCAGTGTATTAAATGCTACTGTTTATGTCCTATATTACAGTGTAGAATAACTTTTCCTCTTCCATTTTAAATGTTTAAATAACGCATCTGGAGGTGGAAAAACGTTAGTAAAGTAGAAAGAAGGAGGATGACGGAAACAGAAACACCTATCAGGCAGGATCCACCTGTCCCAGCAGGATATCAAGGTCTAAAACTCTTGTCCACGTCACACCAAACCGCAAGATAAGCAGAGAAAAAGTGACTCGAAGTTTTAAATGTGACTCTTACCCAGCTCTTTCTTCTTCAAGCTCATCTACATTTTTCCATTTTTGATTAAAAAAGAAAAAACATGACATCCGGAGGTTGTTTTATTCTCAGTCTGTTTCGCGTTTTAGTTCAACAATCACCTGCTGCTGCAGGGGGCGGATCATGAACCAACTCAGTCATGCATTCACTGCAGCGCACCTATAGGTAAACACCTGGGGAGAAATGTCTCCTGTCCTGCAGCGCCCCCCAGTGGTCAGGATGCTTAAGTGCGTCAGAGTAGGGTTGGTGTGAAAACAAATATCTGCAGTTACAGATGTTATTCTAAATGTCCGCTCTAACTAAACACTAGATGTAAAAATGCTTATATAAATGCTAAACAACACTGTAAGCACGGATTATTGGTAATAAGAATTATTTAAATAAGATTTATTTACAACTATAAAAAATAGTACGATAGTAGTTACACTGGCTTTAGTTTGCATCATTTTAAATTGTATTGATAGTTTATTGTACAAATAGCAAATTTAGGGTTTAGTAAACATATCTGCCATCAGCAGGGACATTAAACAGATTCGTTTGGTTACATCCTTATTAAAGACTGGCATTGAAAACCTATGATGCATCATTTTGATAAACTATCTGGTTCAGCAGCTTTTTCTTTTTGTTACAGTACAAACCTCATTATATTTTGGGATTTTTAGGAAATAGACAGGAACATTAATCAATGTAAAATTCACTTTTTGGTTTTAATCAAACTTAATCATCTTTATTTAAATGTTAATTTCCTGCATACCAGGTTTTTGTGTACTTCATAGAATTACCCTTAAAGGAGGACTTGAGCTAAGTCCAATGGTAAAGCTATGTTGAAATGCAAATTCAATTTGCACAACTGTTAAGAGGAAATGTTTAATTGTTATTGCAAGCAAAGAACAGGTTTTGTTAATTAAAATGTGAAAAAACGCAATCCAGAAATTACACTTTAAAAAACGTCTTAAAAAATAATTTTTTTGAGAATAACTTTGCTACTCAGATATATTACTTTTCAAATTATTCCAAATTATGTTTTTATTGATATTTTATTAATTTTAGACATTATTTCAGCAACTTTTGCTTCTCTTTATTACATTTTATATTTATGAGCCCCCCCCCCCCCCCCCCCCCCCAAAAAAGCAATTGTGTATATAATATAATGAACCATCTGTGGATATAAAAAAGACAAAACCGATGGTTACGATTTTATTTGATTTTAAAATCAAATCAGAATTAAGAAAATACAGATTTTGTGATCGCATTATTTGATTAGTTTCAAAAACAAATAAATACCTCGCTTTATTATGTACACATTTTGGGGAACAACTTTATTGAAAAAAACAAAAAACAAAAAAACAAAAAAGAAAATTGTATTACTCAGGTTGTCATTGCTGAGAAAATAGTGACAAACAGCAGAGGGAGACATTTCTAAAAAAAATTTATGTCCATTAATAGTATAATAATATTGAGGCTGATGATTTATGTGAACTATTTATTCTTCAGAGTGAACTGATTAAACAACATCATCAGCTGCAGTCATCACTAAAAACAAGAAATGTTTTTAACTTAAAAATACTTGCATAACCTTAATCATAAGGAATTATTTTTTTCATGCAAAAAGCACAACAAATAAACTTCCATCAGGCACTCAGCTTAACATCAAATCATTTGAACTTTTCATGTTTGAGGTCTTTAAGAATAGTGAAAATTAGATTTATTTGTGAAATGTCAAAAATATCAGAGATAGGATATAAACTCAGAAGTCAGTGTGCATGTGTTTAGTATTTTTCTTCTAAACTGTAAAGCTGGGCAAAAAAGAAAAAAAAAGTGCTTTTTTTTAAAGCAAAAATTACAGGAAGTATGTTTGCAGGGCTCAGAATGAAGCTTTCGAACCTAAGGAAACAGTTTGAATAGATAAGCATGGAGGTGGCACCATGGTGTGGGACTCTCTTGCTTCCAGCGGTGATGATATGGTGCACAAAATAGAAAGATTAAAACTACAGCAGAGAGTTTTGAGAAAAACCATAGACCGTCTGAAACTTTGAACAAGCACAGCTTGAACATCAAAGATAGGCTTTAGATAGACAGACAGTGGCAAAGATGTAGCACAGAGCTAATCTTCAGCTTGGCCAAACACAAATAATCTGTCTCATATGACATATGTCTCACATACATATGACACAGTGTGGGGTTAAGGGTCTTGCTTAGAGAGCCAGAGTGGCAGTCTGTGGGAATGGGGCTCAAAAACCTCAGGATTCCAAGCTCTATGCCCTAACCACCAGGCCATCACTCCCCACTTATGTATCTCTAAGTTTTCCCCATAAATAATTCTGTCTGACCAGAAGACCCCGCTCCCTCCCTTTTGTTAGAAAACAAGTGGCTAAGACATATCTTTGTAGAGCTGTTTTTACCTGGCCCCTCCAGGAAACATCTACATTGATCGCTCTGACCTTATCAGTAAACAACATGCCGGCTTTCTCCGATCATGGCTTGAGGCAGAACACAATCGATTCTGCTCAAAGCTGAGACAAAGACGCTCTTTTAGCACCTAATCTGTACAGTGAATTGTTTAAGTTGCAAAAGTGTGTTTTACAGCTTTGAGAGGTCTTATATTATTTTAGTCTTCTTAAAAGAAAAGTCTTATCTCAAGAAGTAGATTGATAAAAACACCTGCAGTGCCTGTAGGGTAGGCAGGGGTCTGCAACCTTTGAAAACCAAAAAGCCATTTCACCCTGAATCCAGTCAGGTATAAGTGGTTTAGAGCTACAAATTTGACACATTTTAGAAAATACGACTTCTTAATTTAATTAAATATCTGCTATAATAAATCTGTTGCCATTTATTTGTATTTTTTCTGGCTTTGAAATGAGTAAAAACATTAAATGCATGGATTTTCTTTTGATATTTGTGGAAAATTATGTTGAAATAAAAAAGGTTTTCAAGCAATCATAAATAAAGATCCAAAAACAACATAAAATATTGTTGGTTCTTTCAAATTATGTTCTGGGAAATTTAAATTCTAAAAAAGAGTCTAATTTGTTATGCTATTTTTAAAGCCCTTAGTTGGTTCTTTATCATTTTAGGATCCATTATAGAGGGTCCACAGAGCCATATGTGACTCTGGAGCTGCAGGTTGCAGACCCCTGCTCTAGAGCAGCATTGTGATTGGTCAACACCCACATAGGGAGAGTAAACATTGTAGAGAAAGCATATTTTCTTCATAGTTGAAAATCTAGTACCAGGAAGCAACTAAAATTGAATAAAAAAAATACTCCATAGTGCCAAGGCAATATATTGTCATATATATGCCCTAGAATGACTTCAGAAGGCTTAAGAAAAATATTATTAGACCTTCAAAACATAATTGAAATTATATGTTGTCTTTTTACAGCAAGTCATCAAAAATCCAACATTTTTAAGGCAATCATCCACATGATAAGTGCTGATTATGAATCAGTTGAGGCAAAGCGAGAGCCCCGCCTATGCCCAAAAAGAAAAAAACAACAACAAATCAGGTCCTTGTTGTCCTCTTCATCTCACTTTTTGAGTCAATCATAGTTACTAGAAAATGTAAACATGAACAAGACATGCGTATCGTCACCAGTTTGAGCATAAAAAGATACGAGCAGACACCAGAAACTGATTTTTGAGGTTATTACCCTGAGATAGTGGAAAATACTAAGAACTAGAGTATTTCTAAAAGTCAAATCTGCTTTTTGAAATGAAATGTTCACTCTGGTGCTAAATTTAAATTTTCCTGCTCCCCCCTCTGACTCATCCCGGATCCTCAGATAGTGCTTTGTTCGGCGGGTCACTGAGCCGAGGCAGAGAAGGAGGTGATGGGAAGGCAGAGCAGGGAGCAGAAGGTCGGGTTCAGGGGTTGGATTTGGCCCGGTAGCGTTTTGTAAGACCTCCAGTCTGAACTGCTGCCTGCTTTGCTGCACAGCGACACCTCACACCTACAGACAGGAAACAGTTTCTGTAGCTTACATATCATGCTGAGTTTTAGATTAAACATATTTGAAATACATTTAAAACATTTAAAATCTCTTGATTGCTTTACTGGAGAGGAAAGAATGCATGTTCTGTTTTTTCTCTTGAAGAGCAGCGTTACCTTCTGACTTTCTGGATGAAAGTCTTTTTGTCTTGATCCAGACAAACGGCAAACGTAGCCCTGTCTTCATGAGCAGTCACCTGCACCTTGTCTACCTTTACTTCTGACATCAGGATCTGCTTCAAACACAATAATCTGTTTGTATGATATTTGAAGAAAACATTCAGAGGTGTATTTACATTTTTAAACAATGATTACAAAGTGAGAATAAAAAAGGACACTGAGTTATAACGTGTGGATTTCCGCAGCAGGATTTTTGAAAACAAAAAGAAAGAAACTAACAGCATTAGAGTTTTGGGTTGATGAAATAACCAGAGGTGAAAGAACTAAGCTATGCAGAAAGCATCAGTGGTTAATATCACAGTCATGCAACCTTTGAGCGACTTGGATTCTGAAAACCAAGAAAATCAAGACTGATAAAACATCAAACACTGAATGAAAATGATGTACATCAGAACTTTACCTCAAACTAAATACATTGGTAAATTGATCTTTTCCATTTCTTTTGTTTCATTTTGTAATGAAACAAAATAAAATCAAACTGTGCTTTTAATAGTTAAAGTCATTCCCTGATTGGCCAGCAGGATTATGGAGCCTCCAAGGGACATGATGGAAGAAGCAAATTAGGGGTGAAAATGTTTACATATATATATTTTTTGCCTCATCCTAAAAATATTTTTGTTCTATCTTAAAAAGGTTTTTTGTATATATAATTTTTTATGGGTGAGTTTGCTGAAGCAATGCAGCCATGGAAGATATAGTGTAGCAGCTCTATAAAGTTCTGTAAAGATTAACTTGAGTTTGGCCTCAAATGTAAAGATCTTGTCAGCGCTTAGCTTTAGGCATGTTTTTTCTATTTAAGTGAGAGACATTTGAAGGGGATTTTACACTCAAAAGGATTGTTTTTTTCATGAAGAAAATTCTGAACTAGTGCATCTGGTTCAGTTTGTTAGTGGCCAATTTCAGAGCTCTGGTCAAAACTTTCTCTGGATGACACATAACTTGAAAAAGGACAAGGAAAAATACTTAGAAAATAAAAAAATATTGATTTTTTGGCTTTTAAGCTTTGTTTTTTTTCAGTTTGTAAGTAAATATAGCCTTTCTCTGTATATTTAGCGAAACTACATCATGTGATCTGGATTACGTCATTAAGGATGTGCACAATTGCTCAACAAGCCAAAGCAAAAGAGGTGATCGAGTGTGGAACTCGAGCATATATGGGAGTTAAAGATCAGGTGTAAAAACGTTCAAGAAGATTTTTGATCTAAGTGTTCTTTTGCCTTTTTTTTGTTTTTATTTTTTTTTTACTTCATTGATCCCACTTTGGAGATATTTACCTCAGCATTTAACCCTTCCCCTCTTATCTCAAGATGTAGAGTGATAAAAACACATGCAGAGCCTGTAGGTGCTGTTCATGGTTCACTTTTCGACCACAATTTCATCATTTCTGCAGGTTATAAACCTGCAGAAAAAAAAGAAATGAAATTGTTCGTTCTGTTTTCTCTTGTGTCATACAGGTGTTTTCTATGTTGTTTTGTTTAATTTTCTCTTATTTCATGCAATTTTTCCTAGCTCTTTCTCTTTTTCTCTCCCCTTAGTTCTTATACCCTCTTTCTTTCTCGTCTCCATATCCTTATACGATTTTACTCCCTAAATAACTTTCAATAAAGTTTTAAATAGTAGTATCAAGTGGAACCTTATGGAAAAAATGTCATTATTTTTCTGTTTGTGAAATCAAAGCTTTTGGTCTATCATCTAGCTGTAGGACACCTATTCCCAGAGCCATATTGGCAAAACAGGACACACACACACACACACACACACACACACACACACACACACACACACACACACACACACACACACACACACACACACACACACACACACACACACATACCCACAACCAAAGGAAAAGTAGATTTTCTACAATGAGTTAGAGAGACAAATGTGAACTGAACAACATGTTCACTAGTTCCACTATTTAGGAAACTTTTGATCTATACCTCACCTGGTTATAACCTTTTTTTGATTTAGAGTTCTGCTTTTTCAGAACCTCTGTCATCGTCAGCTGAAGGCCCTCTTTCCAATCTGGATAGTGGAACAAAACAAAAAGCAGAAAAAGAAGTTCAAGCACTACATCTATAAGGTGAAGTAATAGAGTTTGGATGTGAGGAAAACTTGCCAAGCTTCTCAGAATCCCTGCATGTTTTTTGAAGGTTAAGCGACGTGCAGACCACCTCTTTGTGGATCCACCGACTCCTCCCACTGATGGCCACCTGTACTCATGTCAAACAGGACACAGTTCAGATTAGTCGGTGCTGGTAGAAATAGAAATGTGTATTATTGTTTGTAAAGCAGGAAGTCTGTGTAAAGGAACAATACCTTGTTGTAGGCTACTCTCAGTGTGAGGGGAACCGCCTCCCGCTCTTCATCAATTCCCAACCTTTTGCTCACAGCTCCTTCAGAAACAATGCAGCACATACAAATCTGCATTCAGACATTCAAACACGTTTGTGTTGCTTTTGAATGTGTATGTTTTGCAGGTGTGACTAACCCATGGCTCTAACAGCTCTGGCTCCAGCTGTGTGTCCAAGCTCCATGGAATGAATGAATACTTCCTTTCTCTTCTCTCCCCCCACCAAGGTCAGCTGTGCGAAGGAAGGAACAAGAATATTTTAAACTGTGAGCAGGTCAATATGTCCTGTGCATGTTGCTGTGTGAAGATGATCCTCTGACCTCAGCCTGGTAGAGCTGCACCAGAACGGGCTGATCGGCGTGTCGGCAGTAATAGAGCACCAAGTCGGCCAGCAGTGGAAGACGATGCTCCATGCTGCCGGTGCTGGTGGAAACATCATCGTCCTTTGGAGCAGCCTGAGTCATGGGAGGTTGGGTAAAAAATATTAAACAGCAGCAGGGATATCCTTTGCACAATGATGCACAATCGATTAAATCGAATAGATTTAGATTCATTCATCCGGTTAGTAATGTTTAAAATCAGGACTCAATTCCACACAGTTAATGCTCCCATTTGTCACCCGATGGGACAAATAAGAATGAGTTTAAGTTAATTATATATTAAATTTCTTACTTATTGTTCTGTTAAATTAAAAAGTAAGCATATTCCATGCAGATAACGATGCAATTTGTTAATTAATGAATTAACCTAGAATGATTTTATCAATAAATCAATAAGTGGCCCTTTTCCTATTGTTTCCTCTAGTATCAGGAGGATTCAGTTAACATGAGCGGCTAAATGTTTTCTTTTCTCTACTAAACCCTGACTGATTAAGCACAAAAAGTATGGAACTAGAGAGGTTTATAAAATAAAACTAAACAGTAAGCTGTTAGGTTATTGAATAAAAAAGATGCATAAGATATGTGAAAGTGAAGTAAAAGTTTTAGTCATAGACTGAGTAAGTCGCTCTGATACACTGTCAGACTATCATGCCTCTTCGTTTCAATGAAGCGGATGCCTATTGTTATTTAGTTCAGTGTCTATTCTATTCCAGCATTCAGTGCTTGGAGATGTGCTGTTAATCTGGTGTTTTGTCTTTTTCTGTCAGGTCTCAATTTTTTTTGCAGATTGTCCTCCATTTTTCTATCATCACATCCTCTCTTTCCAGATCAGCAGAGAAGTATGAATGCAGCACAGATAAATGAGCGCTACTTTACGTAAAAAGTAAAAAATAGATATGCCAGTAGGTCACTCTGGTTGAGTACAATGTTTTTATGACAACTTACAGCATAGTATTTATGTTCATCTTTTAACCTTTTTTTTTGTTTAGTTTGTAAGCCTTTCTGTGTATATTTACCAAAACTACATTATGTGATGTGGATTATGTAACTAAGGATGCATAGAATTGGTCAACAAGCCAGAACAATGGAGGTGATTGAGTGTGGAACTCCCAGCATATATGGGAATAAAGAAAAGTCCAAGATCAGGTGTAAAAAGAAGATTTTTGATTCCAAGAGGAATAAAAGTGGGACAATGCTGGGAAAACATTCTGACCATTGGATTCACTAAAGATGGATCTTAAGTTTAGAAGCATTCTGATGTTGCAGCAGAGTTGATAGACAGTTCATGCCTTAATAGTCATACTAGTGTTTACAATGATTTTCAGCCATATCCTCCAGACAGTCAGCTCAGTTGGGACTTGGAACTTTAGTTGTGTCAATGCCAACCATCTGGCTTTTTGTTAGTTAGGCTGTATTGCCTGTAAATGGTGCCAAGTCTGTTTATACCAGCTCATCTTGCCCTGAGCTGGTGTTCTATTTAGGCTCAAAAAGGACAATCAAAACAATGTCAGGACAAACTATTGGTGTATATAGCCTTATTTCATCAACTGATGGGCCACATTTTAATATAACAAACCATTAATCTAAGATTAATCATTAGTAAACTATTTGTTTACATCCCTACTAGCAGGTTTCTGCAGACTAGAAGTAATTTAATGTTTTGGAGTGGCCTAAACTCCAAAGATTAGCCAAAGATAAGAGAAAAAGAAAGCAAAGATAGAATTTCAGCTTTAAGTAAATGGAGTTTATCACAAAATGATACTTTTAGAATAGGAGTGGAAATGCTAAACAAAAAGGCACCAAGCATTTACAGAGAATGGGTGTGACTATTGGGAAAAAGTGTGAATAATTGTTTTTTTGAGTAAAATAAAACAGATAAATATTTTCATATGATGCTCCTTTTATTGTTTGTGTTATATTTCAACAAAATTAAAGATACTGTAGCTATCGTCATTTTAATAGCCTTTTTATAAACATGCTCAATTAAAAGCAGAGCTCCATATGTGGACCATGAAGCGCCAGCTGAATCTACGGAGTCAGTATGGAGTTAATACAGAACATATGAAACTGAACATTTAAAACATGCAGTATGAGAGCGCAATATGTTAAAATAACATATTTACATGAAATATGTAATCTGGATGTGTAGCCACTGTTTGGATGCACAGAGAAAGAACAGCGTGTGTGCTTTTGTTATCTGGGCAGGAAACGTGGGTCACATGTTATGTGTCAGCAGTATAAAAAACAACAACTGGAGAACAGGGAGTAAATAGCAAGAACACCAAGGTGACTGCAGCTGTTATTTGATAAGTTTATAAAGTAAAAAAATTGTTTGTTTAGCTGCAAACCAATATTAGTTCTTTAACTTTCCTTTCTTTTACTATGTGACTTGTTTGAGGTCCCGCTTTAGCACAAAGCTAGCTGTGGATAGATTCACAAAATTAAATGTGTCTAAATATAACCTTTTGATAGACTGATTTTTGAAGTTGTGTTCAATTTAACCGAGACTGCTTGCATGATATTTGTGGTATTTATACTAAAAGCCATCACTCTGTGAAAATTGCACACTGGCTCCTGTTTTTGTTCCAGTGAGGAGAATAAAGTTATATAAAAATCCAGAAAACCTGTATTAACTGTCTTAATGTATGGGACAAAATAGCTGTCAGAAGTAAATGTGAATGTTATTGTTGAAATTGGTGCTAAAAGGAATCATTTTGTGAATTGTACACCGAAATAAGTTGAATCAAATATAGAGCAGGTTTTCTGTTTCCTGTCAAAAAGGTGTATAAGTTAAGAAAATTGAAAGGTTTAGTTTTGCACTCGTGGTTTTTATGTTGTGAAAAAGCTTTCTGATCTCTAACCACATTTGCAAAAGATGTCACGAGGTCCATTTTTTATATAGAGCAGTAATCGAATTAGAGTTCAGCCTGAGATGTTAATGCAAACTGTTGCTGCCATAGCTGAATGCAGCTATAGTTTAATCATTTTTTTTTTTTTTTACCTTTTTGCCATGAAAGTGAAAAATCATCAATGATGCCATCACCATTTCTCATCAGAAGGCATGACCACATGGGCTGGGTTTCTTAACCCAAGATTATTAGCTGCTATGTACACATCTACCGAATAAAATGCAAACATCTCCTTTATCGACTTGAACTAATTCTGATGCTTTTATATTAGGTGGAAACACAGAAAAATCTGATGATTACTTTGAATTTGTATGTTATCTGTGAACAAAATGAATATAATGCTAAAAAATAGTTTTCGCAAGATGCTTTCACTTTTGGCACCCCATTAACATTTTATGCAACCAGTAGGACAGTACTTGGTGTTCTCTTTTTATTGTTTCACAACCTTGGAATTTACAGTTAGAAGGAACTTTAAGCATTTCTCTACCGATGGTTTAATTATGCATGCAACCACTTTGTTGTGTTTTGAAAACATATTTTGGATCATTACTCTGCTTAGAGACCCAGTGTGTCTAAAGACACTCGCTGGCTGCTTTAGTAGGTAGGTACACCTGCTCAGCTGCTGAGTAATGCAAATGTCTAATCAATCAATCAATCAATCAATCAATCAATCAATCAATCAATCAATCAATCAATCAATCAATCAATCAATCAATCAATCAATCAATCAATCAATCAATCAATCAACCAATCAATCAACCAATCAATCAATCAATCAATCAATCAATCAATCAATCAATCACATGTCAGGAACTCAATGCATTTAGGCATATTAAGATGGTCAGGGAAATCTGCTGCAGTTTAAATTGTGCAGACTGCGGAAGCAAGGTGATTTAAGGGACTCTGAATGTAGAATGGTTGTTGGTGCATGATGGGCGGGATTGAGTAATTCAAAAACTGCTGATTTACGGGCAGTTCTGGTTTAGGCTGGTAGAAAGGTACCGGTAACTCAAATAACCACTCATTAAAACAGAGGTATGCAAAAGAGCATCTCTGAGCAACATGTCAAACTCTGAGGCTGATGGGCAACAGCAGCAGAAAACCACACTGGTTGCCACTCCTGTCAGCTAAGAACAGGAAACTGATCTACAATGTGCTTAGGCTCACCAAATTAGAAGATTGAAAAATGTAAACTGGTCCAATGAGTCTTGATTTCTGCTGTGAAATTCAGATGGTTGGGTCAGAATTGGGAATCAAAAACATGAAAACATGGATCCATCCTGCCTTGTATCAATGCCTCAGGCTGATGGTGGTGGTGAGATGCTGTGGGGAATATTTTCTTGGCCCTTTAGTAGCAATTGAGCATTTCATCAAGCCACAGCCTAGCAGTATTGTTGCTAACCATGTTCATCCCTTTATGACCACAGTAAACCCATTTTCTGAACAGCTACTCCCACCAGGGTAACATACTATAAAGTGTGAGTCATCTCCGACTGGTTTCTTGAAAATGACGATGAGTTCACTCATGGCATCCAAAGTCACCACATCTCAATCCAATAGAGCATTTCTGGGTTGTGGTAAATTGGGAGATTTGCACCATGGATCTGCAGCTGACAAATCTGCAGCATCTGTGTGAAGCTGTCATGTCATTATGGACCGAACTCCCAAAAGAATGTTTTCTGTACCTTTTTGAATCTATGCCACGAAGGACTGAGGAAGTTCTGAAGGCGAAAGTGGTCAGTGAGTAACGTACTGTGGAGTACTACAAATAGCTTTCTTTGAAACTGACTCACATTTGAAGGAGTTCATCTTGATTTGCACTATAAAAAGGGATCTCATGACCTCATTATAAGAATTTGACGTACAGCATCAGTGCTTTTTCAAACAACTTACTTTTTTATTATTACATCCAACATCCCCGGAGGGTTTTCTTTGTTTTTGCTGAAGCCATCAGTCTCAGCATAGAAGCGTAAAGCAACCTAAGGATGGGGAAAAAGGTTCCCTCTGGCATCCCCTTCAGGCAACCAGTTTGTAGTTAATCAGTTAGTGATTGTTAAAAAGAATTTGGGAATGAAAGCGTTCCACTGCATTTCTCCAACAGATTTTAAAATGTATGCAGGTTGGAAGGATAAAAATGGCTCCTTATTCAATTGTTCCAGTGGCAAAAAGAAAAAAAAATGTTGGAGGGAAACAAAATGTTGTGGATCACAACTAGATTTTACAAATTTTTATGAGTGGTAAAAATGTGGTTGAAATATGGTGTTATATTCTGTGATGCCCTGCAACAGACTAGTGACACGTCCAGGTTGTACCCTGCCTCTCGCCCATAGCTTGCTGGAAAAATCTGGATGGATGGATGGATGGATGGATGGATGGATGGATGGATCGATGGATGGATGATGGATATGGTGTTATATGTGCACAATGTGTGCCCATAATTGTGATGCTGTCTCTGCATATATGATATTTTTTACAGCTATTTGACTCATTAGCAGCATAACTATCTCATCCTCATCTTACACCATCTTTCTGAGGTGTCAAAGCTTGAATAAGAGACACAATTGAGCTTTTGTAGATAAATGATGTAAGAAAAAAAACCTTGACCTGATATCGTCTAATGTAAAAGAATGAGGATGAAAGTGTGCTTACCTCGCAGAGCACTTCAGAGGATAGGCTGAGCAGACTGAAAACGTTACGTTCATACCACGGGTCTATCAGGCCCAACATCTGGCCGATATCTGTTGTGCTGTCCTCCACTTCATGACCATTTGACTCCTGTCATAAGCAAGACTTGAGATATAAAATGCCCTAATGCCTAATTAAAAGCTTTAAATCTTCTTATTATGTATATCATATATGAAAGATAACTGCAGTACCTGCCCCTCTGCTGTTGTGTGTCCTCCTGCTGTATTTGGAGGATTCCTCTTTGTTGGAACAAAGTAAAACTGCAGTCTGCATGTCTTGGTGAGTTGTGGACACTTTCTTTCCTTCTGTCGGAGGTCATTGTATGCTCGGGCAAGCCTCCCAGCCTCTCTGTCACCTCCAAATGCAACCACCTTGACAACAGTTGGCACTTCTGCTTCATTCCCTTCGTCTATGCTCAGAATGGGCCTCCTGCGAATGCAAATGTTCCTTTGGGGAGAGGAGGGATCCATCGGACTTATGGTAGCATTCAGAGGATGAAGATGTCTTGTGGCAGTCCCTGAATGTTTGAGCTGTGCCCCAGTCATTAGGTAGTCTTTGCTGATGTCACCATTGTAGCCCATGCTCTGGACGCGGCGGCAAGAGCTTGGACTGTGGGGGGTCTTGAAGAGTGAGGCGAAACCCGGCAAACCCAAAAGGGATTTGGACTTTTTCTTGGGTTTCTTTCTAACCTTCAGATGTTTGCCTCGTCCCTCCTCGGGATCCTCATGCGCTGTGTCCTCACTGAAGTCGCTTTCCACTCCAGATGAAGCAGATCGCACCGACCAGCTGGAGGAAAGAGAGTGTCCTGAAAAAGTAGAGTCCCTGGAGGAGGATGAGGCAGTGGAGATCCGGTTGCTTTGAAACTGATCATCCTTTTTGCTCGAGTCCGACTCATCTTCTTCATCAACGCTAGTGTCAATGGTATCATCCTCCTCTATTTTCGGGAAACATTCAGGAGGGGAATCTAGGTCAGAATCGACTGCAAGAATGTCTTTTAGAACATCTACAAAAACAAGAAGAAGGAAAGAGAAAGTGATGAGAAATTATGCTTATGCTGAGAAACCTAGAGTAGAATAGTTGACTCGAATTACCGAAGTTATCATCCTCCCATATGCAAGTGTGACATTTGGGATAGGGCAGCATTAGAAGCTCTACAGAACCTAAAATGAGGAGATATTTAGATCAAAACACACCAAGAACATGAAGTTTATCAGTAGAGTTTGAAAATAATACACAGAAAGTTATACAGTTTTTTTTATCTGATAGAACAGATTAAGCTAGAGTTAAAATGAAGAACACAGAAAAAGTCTATTTGGTTTTAATTCATTTCATTTTTTTATGGATTGCATTCATAGTGCCCCTGTTACTCTAATACCTCTAGATCAGGGGTTTAAAACATTTCGGCCCACATCCCAAATAACTATGCAACAGATTGGAGACTGCCTAAAAATACCAATGACCACTTTGTCCTATTTATATTTATACATAGGCTGTAAAGTACGGTAATCATTTTTAAAATGAATTTATTACTATTAATCAATTACTAAATTAGTTCATGTTTTTTTCAATAATCGATTAATCCAATTAATTGTTTCAGGCCTAAAATAAATGTATATATATATATATATATATATATATATATATATATATATATATATATATATATATAAACCTTTCTAACACATTTCATGATCTAATTCAATAATTTAAGACTTTTGTTGTTACTTGATGCAAAATACATTTTTCTATTGGTGCAATACTATCTATAATATTTGAATCAAATATATAGACAAATAAATGTTATGCATGATGCATTTTTGTATTTCCTGGGACATTTACATGTATGCATGTCATGATTTATTTTTGTCCTCCACATACTTCATGTTTTCATCAAATGTTTTATTTTATTTTATTATTTTTTTTTGCATTTTTGAATTATTGCACTAGAGGAGCTTGATAGAGAAAAAAATCTGAATAAATTTGCAAAAGTTTTTAAAAAAGCTTGTACACATGCTTTAGCTTTTTTTTTTTACTTTCTATGAAAGCATAAAATGTGATAAAGAGAAAATGGAAATACATTTTTGGAAGAAGTTCTGATATAGTGAATATATACCTGAGATGATCAGCTGTCACTGGCATCCTAACAGCGCCATTGCAGTCAGAATTTTTTCTCGATGTCTCTGGATGGCACGAAAAATATACTAACACTATTTTGATATGAAACTTATTCTAATAGTAGATTAGAAAAACTAATACAAGCAAATAAATATTGCAAAAATTAAGCTATTTTTTTGTTTTTAGTATCTTGCATTTTATTGTAAGGACTTAGTATTCAGAGATTAAAGAACAGTGAGTTATCCATGAAGTTTGTTGTCATGGAGACTGTAGATGAGTTTGATGCAGTTTTGCAGCTTTCATAGAACAGTTGTATGAGCATTGAGTGCAGAATTTATCTAATATTTGGTATATATCTGGATAGTTTGTAATCACACATATAACACAAATGGACCACCTTTAGATGCTAGTGCCATGAGGTGGATTAATCATTAGACAGCTGTCCAATAACTGTCTATGCATGGTGCTTTTACTTATTCTTTGTTATACTGTATTACTTCATATGTAGCAATGTTTAACAATGTGCATTTTTAATGAAGGATTTCAATCTGTATCTCGACAAATTGCTTTCTTTAATACCTCTTTACTAAAAGCAGCAGCAGGCCTTGACTGTCCCTTATTTTTATTTATAAGAGGTGGCAACCCTAGCTGTGACTCTTCTGGTCATCTATGCTTCGCTGATGAGGTGTTAAAGAACTATTTCAGAATCTTCAAAATACGGCTTTAATGAAAGTAACCCAAATCTGAAAAAAAAAAAGAGAAGTAATTTTTACTCTTTTTAGATATGGGTCAAATGTGTATGAGTATGTTTTCCCTCAATTAAATTTGACCCAGAAAAGTTCCTGTGTACTTTGAAATAAATGCAGCTGTTCTATGAAGCCATTAGAGTTTTTCAGAGAACATTGGAGGACAATGAGCTTGATGAAGACCAAAGCAGAAAAGATTGGCGAGAACGTTTCTTCGAAGTTAAGAGCAGGTTAGGTGATATATGACATACAGTGGCTGCAGGACCATCCACTTATGCTAAAAAAAACGAGGGAAGGAGAGCAGCCCAGCTTTTTGCATTATTATAAAACGCAATGTTAGGCAGATAAACGTCATTTATTAACCACATCCTGGCATATGGCGGTGGCGGTAACATGTTGTGGGGTTTTCCTCAGGAAGGGAAGCTGGTCAGAGTCTTATAAAGCCTGATACTGAGTAGGAGGGCAACAACTCTAGACATACAGACAGGAGCGATAGTGAAGTAAAAACACAGAAGTGTTTCAGACTGGCCTAGTCAAAGCCCGGCCAAAGTCCTGCTTAAAAGGTGGTGAAACACGATTGTTACAGTTGCTGTCCATCCAATATGACTATATAGAATAAAAAAAAAACCTACGTGTAAAAACCTGGTAGAGACACCACACACACAAAAAAAACAACAGTAAAAAGATTGTTCTGATTCTGATTTATGCAGCACTGTGATATATTTAGGTGACATATTCAGGTACCGTGGAGTTTAGTTCTGGGATTCTGGGCCTTACCAGTCTCTGAGCAACCATCTCCAGATGGGACAGCAAGGCTTTCTCTGATCGTCTCCAAGCTGTGAAGTAGACCGCTCCGAGCAGTTGCATAATCCGGCACAGAGGCTGCTGTCTCCATGCTGCCAGTTATTGTCTCCAAAAGCAGCTCCAGCTGATATAACTCCTTTGTCTAAAGGTAAATTAAGAAAGACATCCTCTAAAAAAAAGAAGAACTAAGTGGTATTATAGTTAAAATGTGATCCATGAATACTGTTGTTAACCTGCAGGGCAGCATTGAGAGCCTTCAGGTCGAGTCCAGTACCAAAAGCAGCCTGGAAGCTGTGCAGGATGAGGGTTATTACAACGTTTCTGTTAGAGTAATGGATGGTACTGAGCTGCTCAGAGGCCAACTGGACCTCCTGAGGCGCATCATTGTCTGGGCTCACCAACAGCACCATTCTGAAAAACACATCCATTGGAATTAAAAGATGTTCTTTTTAAATCTGTATTTCTTTTCTCAGTACCATGAACCTGAACTACAAACTTACATGGTTTTAGAGCAGTTAACTTCAGGGGAAACAGCCTGCTCAGTCTTTACCAGTCGGAGAAATAAAATGCCTGCAATTAAAATTATAACACTGGTGAGTGGAAAAAGAGCACAGTAAATATTTTTTACACATTTGATGAAGAGGTGATTGTCTTTGTTTATAGCATTAACATTATTTCTGTTGAAATATGAACGGAAGAGAAGAAAGGGTCAGAAATGTCAAGATAAAGAGCTAACTAGAAGGTGAGGAGACAGGAGCCGGTGCAGAGTGGAGATTAAAAAAAAGTGTAAACAAAGTTAAGATCTGGGTCCTTTTTTTCAACAAAATTGAAACCAATGACTTATATTTAATGGAAGAAATGAGTGACACTTTAAGTTATGTATATTCGATCCCTGTTGCTCAGAACCCACAAAAAAACTAAATGCTAGACTTAGAAAAAAGCAAATGTAATGTAGTTTATTTTAAAAGGTAAAATGTTTTATAATAGAATTAGTCTTGCATGTCCAAAAAGTGCTTTTAAATAAAAGATTTTGGTCAACATAGCCAAACATTTTGACATCATTGGTTCTATTATAGTCAAAGGGAGAGCTTTTCGCTCCCCATTAGACTTTGTATTCCTCAAACAAGGTCTGCTGTTATAAATAATCGTGGATTCCTTCCACTGAGACTAGGGAGGAGTTTAGATGTTTTGGGTTCTTTGGTAATCTCCTGCTGCGATGGACTGGCGACCTGTCCAGGGTGTACCCTGCCTCTCGCCCATTGACTGCTGGAGATAGGCACCAGCACCCCTCGCGACCCCAATTGGGAGAAGCATGTCAGATAATGGAGGGATGGATGGTGATTTCCTGGATGAATATTTGGTGTGCTCTTAAAGTAATTTTGTGAGGTTAAATATTTGTAGGGACAGCTGGAGATAGGCACCAGCATCCCTCGCGACCCCAGCAGGGATAAGCGTGACGGGAAATGGATGGATGGATTTTTGTAGGAATCACTGTAGAACATTTGGCTGCTTCATGTTGTTTTCCATTGAATCTCTGAATCAACAGACAGAAGTTTGAATACGGTGAGTGAATTTGAACCAAACATATCATTAATATTAAAAGGTCTTCATGGTTCACTGTTTAACATGAACCAAAACTATCCAACCAAGTTTTTTTATTGTTGTTTGTATACCTTTTATCCTTTAATGAACTGCAAAACCATCAGTTTGGAAAAAAGAAAGTATTGCATTTGATGAGGTTCCCTGCATTTGGTTTGTGTGTGACACATAGGCAAATCCATAGGAAATCTGTAAGTGTGTGACACTTTTCAACACTTTTCTGGACACTTTTATGTGAGTAAGAGTTTAAGCAACCTGGAGCTCGAATCTCCTGCTCGATGATGATTAGTAAACGTCTACTGGCAGAACTGCAAGGCTCCGGCCAGGCCAGGAACTGGTGGAACAACAGGTAGGCCTCCTGCAGCACATTGCACTCTGAGGCTACATAGGGGGCCTATAAGAGAGAGCAAAATTATTTGATGCAAAACCAAATCAGATGTAATGCGTAATTAACCCCTAAAAAAAGGAAAAGGGTTTTTGCTTTTGTATTCTTAACAGAAAATGAATCAAACTCACTCTGAGAAGAGCTTCAGAGAAGAGAAGGGTCAGAGGCACAACCAGTTCATACTGACACTCCTCCAGCACCTGCACAGCAACACAGGATCAGAACACAGACAGGCGGAGGACTTTAGATAGGGAGAGAGGTTTTGGTTTATATTCCTTTTTTACCTTCTTTGTTTTTTGCAGTATTTTCTGCAGAAGGATGAGGAAGTGGTTGGGATGCCTCTTCACAAGTTCCTCCAAACACCAGCGGCTTATGCACAGTCCAGCTTGTTCGAAAAACAAAAACAGACGCAACCTGAATAGAGGCTCACTTCTCTTTTCAGGTTTCACTCTGATGTAAATCCAACTCTTCTTCACTCGAATTCATCCACACAAAAGGTGAATGCCGCTGATACCTACACTCTAGTTTCTCTTCTTTTACCTTTATGAATGAAACAGTTTTGTTTTTATATAATTCAAAACCAATGTTGCATTCTGCTGGTGTGTCACCACTTTCAGTTCCCATTTTCTCTAGGAACCGAACGGTAGCTCTCTAGTTGGTAAGATGGATATTTAACAGAATTTGGACTAGATTTATCCTAATATATACATTTTTATCCTCCTATAGGCATTTCATGTCAGTCACACAACTTGTTTCTACAAAAGGCAATTATAGTTTGGGATCTTACCATTCCAGAGCTGCTTGTCAGGAGAGTTGATTCCCAGGTGACAGAGGCAGCGCTCGAGGCTATGCTGGATACGGTCCTCTGTGCATGAACTCTGCTCCATAGCCTACAAAATCATCCCGACATCCACAGACAAATTAAGAAAAGACACACCAAGAGGAAGTCCTTTCTGTTTGCCTCTGTTCCTGGTGAGCCAAAAGGTCCTGTCAGTCGACCCAACTTCCTGTTGCTGTTGTTGTCAGTAAATACTAATCATTGTTGCTCAGAGACAATACAATCCTTACCCAAGATAAAAGGATCTCACAAACACATTCAAACACCAGTGCCCATGCACAGATGTCAACTTTGAAGCCATTCTAACGCTTCCCATTGGTGAGTCAGAGTTGACCGGAGATGAGCTGGTGGAAAACAGGCCACAACTTCTACTTTTTACACTAAAAATTAACAGAGGATGTCTGATTTTATATGACTCAACCTTAGGGTGGAATTTAAACTTTGTCAACTTCTTTTCAGATTCCCCCCAAAAATATTCTGTCAAACTAACTTATAAGCTCATTGCTAACAACACATTACCAAAGTGGGAATTTTTTTGAATCATGTCTCACCCACCCTGAGGCTGTGGTCAGCGTATTAGTCAGAAGGTGCATAAAAATGACTGTTTCAAAGAAAGAATATTATTTAACTCAATAAATCTGCTGTTATTGATGAGCTTTACCTGTGGGGAGATGATCTCTAGTAATGATCTAAGAAGAACTTCTGAAGAATTTTAGATGCTTAGATCCAACCCTCAAACCTCATGGTCAAGTAGACACTAGAGTTTTTTTTCTTTTTTAACTTTAAGCCTCATTCTTTGCAGAAGAAAGCCAGAAACAATAATAAATCTTTTATAAGCATGCACTCAGATTACTGTAATTGTCTCCTAGGAATTGGCCTGGCTTCCATAGCTCGCCAATAACTGGCACAAGTAAACCAAAAAAACATTCCACTTTTTATTTAATTTCTGAATAGATTTAAAATGATCCTGTTTGTTTTATAACCTCACTGCTGAACTCATATGTCCTCCTTTATTCCCTTATAAAAACCATGCCTTATTCTTTTACCTGAGGGATTACAGAGATTTGCAATTTATTTTTATTTTGTAAAGAAAAATAAAGCCTTGTTGTTCAATTTAAAAAGCCTTTTATTTGCATTAGCCTTCAGAAGAATTTAGAATTTGTTAAATCTAACTATGGCTAACGCTGAATCATTTTTATTGCTAAAAAAAAACAACAGTTCTCCCCTCTGCAATGGTCACATGTGGTTGGTTAGGATTTTGACATAAAGATTAAGAATATATTTGTATATATTCCTATTCTCAGCTCCTCCGTCCTCAAAAGTACCTGAAATATCCCACTTCAATAAGACAGATGCTAAATTGTCCACTCAGGAAGCAGGTGGTGATCCATTGTAAGTCGGGCAGCATTGTCTGACACTTGTGTGCAAACACTGCTTGTAATGAAGCAACATAGAAACTGTTGGCACGAATTATCAGCCACAAAGCGGCTACTGGTGAACTAGCAGAGAGCTGCTGCTGCTCTATAGGTCATACAGACAAGTCTAAAACAAAACAACAGATTAAATGCAAACACAAACATATGATATTCATGTTGAGCTGGTTCATAAACAATAAGAAGGGGAACAGGAAATATAATGTAAACTACCTAAAAAAAGGCTTGTTTATCCTACAAATAGGCTGCTTAATAAAACAAAAACCCAAAAAGAAAAATCCAAATAATACAAAATATGCCATACAATGTACAGTTTCTTTTCGAAAAAAAAGAGAAAATAGTATTGAATTATTTCAGAGAGGCATAACTCTTACCAATAATAGCATTAATCAGTGTCCTAGATCAATACGGATCAACCACAGCTGTGAAACGCTGGCAGCGTGAAATACCAAGACCACATCCTCCTGTGTAGGTGCCTTTTAAACAGACCCTCCAGCTGCTCAGTCAAAGCACAAAGTGCTACAAAACAGGAACTGTCTGAGTTTTTTGCTGAAGTTTACATGTGCCACTGCAGAAGGCGGAGTCTTCTGTCTGACAGCTGTCAACTGACCCTGTGAAAAACCAGGTAGGATGCATCTGCTGCTGCCCATTCTCAGTTAGAGGGAAAAAATCTAAAGTGTGCATTGAACACGCATTAAAACACAAAACTAATTCCACATGTTTATTGTTTATATACTAAAATATTGACGGCAGAAAAAAGTTGTTTATGACACCTGCTGTCACATTTGCTGCCTCCATTGGATTTGAGAGGAAAAATAGCACTTAAATAGCATCAAGTGTTTCATAGAAATAGGTGTTGTGGTAATTTAGATATAAGGCTCAAAGTAGAGGCTTAGTATTCATATTCTCTGTTTCAGATGTTTAGATGATTAATGCACTCTTTTAGTTCTGAATCAATTGAAACTAATCTTTTATCTCCATAGAGGCGATAACAAACATCATGCAGATGACACCACTTGTGCTGCTGCTTCCAAAATCTGGAGATCCTTAAAACTAAATTGCTTAAACACCTTAAACATACAGCAAGCTGGATACAAATTTTTATTTCAACTGAACCTTAAGAGGAAAAAGGTTAAGGGTTAACCCTGTTTGGTCATTCAAAGTCAGTCTCTTGAAAGTTACGGTGAAAAGTTTGTATCATTTGAGAATTATTTTCAAGCTTATAAGATGTGGTTCAAAACAGGAACTGGAAACGATTATTCATGCTTTTATTTCCTCTCATGCACACCCTTGTAAAACAATTTATGCATGTTTCAACTGCATGTGTAACTCTTGAGCACAACCCTTAACTGGAGAGAGGAGAAATCATCTCACTCTGGTATTCATTCTCTGCATGCAAGCTGTATTCTAAAATACTGGGTTTAAAATTGAGAACCTTGTTTGGTCAAATTCCTTCTAATAAACTGAATTTGTGAAATCACACACTCCAAATTAAGTCTTCATGTTCTAAAACCAAACATAGAATGCGAGGTGATTCACTTGACCAAAAAAGTCTCACCTCTGCTGTTAACTTTCTTTGGGCCGGATTTATCAAGATCCAATTTTGCATGCAGTAATTTGCGCTCGCAAACTGGAATTTTGCGCGAGGGGCTGAACCATGGTTTGCGGGTGATTTAACAAGAGTGATTGCGTAACTGGTGGAAGGTGCAAAACTGTTGGAGACGCCCTATTTAAATGCTGGTTTTGCGCGTTTTGTGGTTTGTGGCAAAGTAGTTTGTAGTCTGTACAAACTAGTGCATTAAGAAATTTAAATCTTACAGTGACCCCCAACAAAAAAAAATAAAAAATAAAAAAAGTAAAATATACAGGTGCTGGTCATAAAATTAGAATATCATGAAAAAGTAGATTGATTTCAGTAATTCCATTTAAAAAGTGAAACTTGTATATTATATTCATGCATTACATACAAACTCATATATTTCAGATGTTTATTTTGTTTAATTTTGATGATTACAAATGACAACAAATGAAAATCTCAAATTCATCATATCAGAAAATTAGAATATTGTGAAAAGGTTCAAAATTGATGGCCCCTGGTGCCACACTCTAATCAGCTAATTAACTCAAACCACCTGCAAAAGCCTTTAAATGGTCTTTCAGTCTAGTTCTATAGGCTACACAATCATGGGGAAGACTGCTGACTTGACAGTTGTCCAAAAGACGACCATCGACACCTTGCACAAGGAGGGCAAGACACAAAAGGTCATCGCTAAAGAGGCTGGCTGTTCACAGAGCTCAGTGTCCAAGCACATTAATAGAGAGGCGAAGGGAAGGAAAAGATGTGGTCGAAAAAAGTGTACAAGCAAGAGAGATAACCGCACCCTGGAGAGGATTGTGAAACAAAACCCATTCAAAAATGTGGGGGAGATTCACAAAGAGTGGACTGCAGCTGGAGTGAGTGCTTCAAGAACCACCACACACAGACGTATGAAAGACATGGGTTTCTGCTGTTGCATTCCTTGTGTCAAGCCACTCTTGAACCACAGACAGCGTCAGAAGCGTCTTGCCTGGGCTAAAGAGAAACAGGACTGGACTGCTGGTGAGTGGTCCAAAGTCATGTTCTCTGATGAAAGTAAATTTTGCATTTCCTTTGGAAATCAAGGTCCCAGAGTCTGGAGGAAAAGAAGAGAGGCACTTCATCCACGTTGCTTGAAGTCCAGTGTAAAGTTTCCACAGTCAGTGATGGTTTGGGGTGCCATGTCATCTGCTGGTGTTGGTCCATTGTGTTTTCTGAGGTCCAGGGTCAACGCAGCCACATACCAGGAAGTTTTAGAGCACTTCATGCTTCCTGCAGCTGACCAACTTTTTGGAGATGCAGATTTCATTCTCCAACAGGACTTGGCACCTGCACACAGTGCCAAAGCTACCAGTACCTGGTTGAAGGACCATGGTATCCCTGTTCTTAATTGGCCAGCAAACTCTCCTGACCTTAACCCCATAGAAAATCTATGGGGTATTGTGAAGAAGAAGATGCAATACACCAGACCCAACAATTCAGAAGAGCTAAAAGCCACTATTAGAGCAACCTGGGCTATCATAACACCTGAGCAGTGCCACAGACTGATCGACTCCATGCCACGCCGCATTGCTGCAGTAATACAGGCCAAAGGAGGCCCAACTAAATACTGAGTGCTGTACATGCTCATACTTTTCATGTTCATACTTTTCAGTTGGCCAACATTTCTATAAATCCTTTGTTTTTATTGGTCTTCAGTAATATTCTAATTTTCTGATATGATGAATTTGAGATTTTCATTTGTTGTCATTTGTAATCATCAAAATTATACAAAATAAACATCTGAAATATATGAGTTTGTATGTAATGTATGAATATAATATACAAGTTTCACTTTTTAAATGGAATTACTGAAATCAATCTACTTTTTCATGATATTCTAATTTTATGACCAGCACCTGTATATATATATATATAAATTGGCAACCTTTATTCCCTAAGGTGGTATGTGCTACAGTAAAAAAAAAAAAAAAAAAAAAAAAAAAAATGGTGTTTTTCGTATTGGCCTGTGACTGTGGATGAGATCCCCGCAGCATTTGGCACGTTGCTCCACAGGCGCAGGGGGAGAACCCCGACCCCGTCGGACAGCACTTCTGAAAAAACGAGAATGGCAGATCCCAGCTCACGCTGCAACCGTACGCTGGAATGACCCAAATGCAAAAAAGTGCAATGTTGCAAGGAATGTTGTGATATCTGGTATTGCGTGGGTCCTCCTTGTGGCTGGCTCCAAATCCATTCGGAGTTCCCCCAACAGCTCCAAAATGGCAATGCTGGATAAACGATATGTTTTGATGATCGTTTCCTCGTTCATTCCAAAAATATTCACACGGAGTGAAAAAAATGCGTTCTCTGCGTCTCCTTGCTTCATTTCGATGTCTCCTTCTTGCGACAATAACCGCTGCCATATGTGCGCAATTACGCATACAGACCATTTGCACCTTCTTTTGAAACGTGTTAAATATAGAGTCAGATACCGTTAGCAAAATTGCTTTCAGGTCTGATAAATCTCTTTGCGAGTGCTAAATTAATATATTTACATGTTCTCCTCACACAAGACGCACTTTTGCGTGTAAACGCCCCATATTGCATATTCATTGCAGAAAAAGTACTAATTGGATAAGAGGCGCTATTTAGCACGTTTAAAAGATCAAATCCTTTTAGCACGCTGTTGATAGATCAGTTTGTACATTTTTTAGCGTGCGCAGTGAAATAGCTCACGTTTTTATACACGCAAACCTTTGATAGATCCGGCCCTTTGTGTTTATGTTGACATGAGTATGGTGGCCCAGAGGTGTCAGATAAAAAACAAAAGCCACAGTGGAAATACAAAAGCTCTGGGCCACCGTACATCAGACAGTTTTAATCGAATTTTCTAGCCTTAAAATGTGTTTTTTAAATATAATTTGTCTAAATTAATGGTAACATTTATTTTCTGTTTTTTCCCCCCTTTATTTGTATTTTGATGTCATGTTTTCATTTTATTCTTTCTATTTAAAAGTAGGCCTACTTAGTGATTTTTTATTGGTGAATGGGGTGGCATGATTACGTTTACTACTATTTACAACTAATTATTGCCCTGGAGCAAACAAGCATGTATTAATGCAATGGCAAGATGGAAAGACACAACAGATAACCTTTCAATTGTAATTAATATTAGCGCTTTTTTTTTTAACATTTGTAATTAATTTTTCAATAAAGGTTAAAAACTGTAGATAAGTTAAAGACATTTAAAGGGAGTTACCCATCTTCTCCAGACCTGAAATCCCACCAAGGGAATCTTATATAAGTAGCAGACATCAATATTAGAAACAGACAGCCTGGACGATTAGTCAGGAAAAAAGTATATTTCCTTTAAAAGACCATGACAGCAAGTCAACTGAATGAAATACGACAGTGGAGGCTGTGAACAACTGCAACAAGTACTTTTCTCAAAACAGAAACATGCTACACTGATTACATTTTTATTGCACATGCTTAGTTTGACCCTCCAACTAACAATAATAGTAAAAAAAGACACATTCAAGATCATGTTATAAATCTATTGTAAAAAAATTTTTTAACATGTTAAGGTACAATTTTTGAATGTGGTGAATTTTGGTCTGTCTGTTAGAGTTAAATACTGACAACTTGGTTATATTGAGGTTGAATTAGAATGTCCTAAAGTCTGTGTGTCTAGATTACAAATAATCCTGTCATATCTCAGGAAAGCAACTCAAAATCCATGGAAGTATTGTTGCAGTGCTGGATGTTGCAGTATATATATATATATATATATATATATATATATATATATATGTATATATATATGTATATATATATTTATATATATATACCATAGTTAAGAAAGGTCTAATAAATGTTTAAAATTATGGTGCTTTTAAAAATGTTTTTTTTTTTTATATATAACTGGCTTGAATATTATGAATATCTAAGTTGTATTT